GGACAAGTCTACATGTACAAGTTACATCATCATATATATGAGAATTAGATCTTCAACTACACAGTTCCTCTAGACTCAGACATGAAATCCAGGAGGATAATCTTGAGGCTGTTTCTCTACTAACTCCTTCAAACCAATTTCTTGCTCCTCAAGATTCTTCGGCTTAACATCATACACATCGTTAAATAACTCCGTCAACGGTTGTTTCTCCCACTTCTCCGCCGCCTGAATAGCTTGCAGAAGCTACAAAAAACACACAAAAACCGGTTAAACTAAACCGGTCTAACATCAAGAACGTCCCGGTCGGTTTCTGGAATCTCTACCTGTTTTCTGGTGTTAGATCTTAGCTTGGATTCATCATCCTCACTCCACCATCCATTATCCTCGACCCATTTCCTGAATCTGTTCACAGGGTTTCTCGACATCTTCCAGTATTGGATCTCATCTGCCTCCCTGTACTTTGTCGAATCATCTGACGTAGAATGATGCCCTACTCTATACGTCATCGCCTTCAAAAAAATAAAAACAACAAAATCTCACTTCACCAGAGTCAAAGTTGTAAACTTTGTGACAAATCTCTAATATGGTTTTTGTTACCTCGATGAGAACAGGTCTTTGCTCTGTTACAGCCATCTCTCTAGCCGAGCGTACCGCGCTGTAAACCGCGAGTGCATCGTTACCGTCCACGCGGATGCTTCGGATGCCGTAAGCTTGACCTTTCACAACAATTCCATCGCCTGTAAACAACCATTAAAGCTCTGCTTTAGAAAAAACAGAGGATTTTTGTGACATGAAAAAACAGAGGAAGTTGGTTAGTTAGTTAGTTTTCTTACTTCTGAATTGTTCTGAGATATGAGTACTGATGGCCCAACCGTTGTTCCGACAGATAAACACGACCGGAGCTTCCATCACCGCCGCGAAATTTAGTCCGGCGTGGAAATCTCCCTATCCCCCCCAAAATCAACACCAAAACAGATAAATTTCAGTTCTTGAAATGTTGATTATTTATAAGAGAAATGAGAGCTTTTGAGATCGGAACCAACCTCGCTTGTGCCGCCATCTCCGATGAATGTAACCGCACAAGCGTTCTTCTTCTCCATTTTCAGAGAATAGCCAACTCCAGCAGCTTGTGGAAGCTGCGTCCTGAATCAAAATATTACAAAAAACAGAGTCAGCGTTAACAAAAACACATAGAAAAGTACAATCAAAGGATTGATTTTTACGCGATTGGAGAGGAGATGGTGAAGTAATTGTGGCGATTGGAGCCGTAATGGATCGGCATTTGTCTGCCTTTGCCGTAATCAGCTCTGTTCCCAAAGCACTGATTCGCAAACTCCTCCAGCGTGAAGCCACGCCATAGAAGCACTCCGGGCTCTCGGTACTGTGACCCAAATAGACGGAACATCTCCCGGTTAAATCAAACCGAACCGAACTGAACCAGAGGTGATAGAGCGAGCGACGGCATACCTGTGGCAAAACGACGTCGTCTGGACTGAGAGCAGCGGCGGAAGCGATGTTAATGGCTTCTTCTCCGACGGAAGTAAGATAAAACGAGATTCTTCCTTGACGTTGAGCTTCGTAGAAGATGTGATCCATCACTTGAAGCGTCGCCATTTGCTCGTACATTCTGACGGCGAGTTTCTCGCTCACCTTTTTCCGATTTTCAATCAGAAAATTGAATCGAGTCAACACTAAACCGAACTAAACCGAAGTCTAATTACGTTCTCAAAAATTTCTGTACCGGAATAAAAACGCTATCGGGAATGATTTGTCCGTCTTCGTTAAGAACCCGGTAACATGGAATTCTCCGAGAAGAAGATTCCGGGATGAATTTCATCTCCGACGTGTAACCGATTTTGCCTCCCGGAAATTCCAATTCCTAGATTTCCAAAAATCCGGTTTAGATATTACTCTGTAATTTGATACTAAAAATAGAACTTCGATAACAACAAGGTGGTCACTAGTGCAAAACAGTAACCAAACCGGCTTTGGACGCATTTAAACCGGAGAATCTCTACTAAAATTAATTGTAGAAGAACCAACTAACTGTAACAAATGGAATATGGAATCTACAACCACTAATGAACTAATCCTGATTTTTAAATAACTATAAATACGTACAAGATGATTAAACAACCAAATAAATTACCTGGACATCTTCTTCATCACTCTGTTGAACAAAACCAGGATGTATCTCCGCTGCCGTCGATTCGTGACGGTGGCTCGAGACAGGACCAACAAACGCCGTCGAATATAGCTGTGAAGCTGTAAAGACAAAGGGACGAGGAGAGAAATCGCGTCTGGTGAGAATCGTCGACAAACCAAGATTTTGTCTTAGGATAGAAACGAGGTTTCTGGATCTAGCAAACAAGATCGCCATGTATGCTAAAAAAAGGACAAGAAGAAGAGGAGAAGAAAATGGGTCAAGAGTAGAATAAGAAGAAGAAGAAGAAGAAGAAGAAGAAAGAGATTGTGTGTGTGTGTGTGTGTCTTTTACGATGTTTTTGAGGGAAATGGATTAGAAGAACGACAAGTGCATGTCTTTCCTTGTTGGACTTGACATGTCATTTGTATCTATCTATCTATCTCCAACTCTTTTTCTCTCGTTTCTTAACTACTAAAAAAAAGTCTTAAAAATATTATTATCGTCCACACTTTTTTGGATTTTAATTTACACTATATATATAGTGGACATATACTTTTCAAGAAAAAGAGATTAAAAAGGAAAATTTACAAATATAGAAGTTGCACTAACTACTGTACATAACAAATCATTTAAGTTTTTTCAACAACCAAACCAACCTGTACTGTACATGTGTGCTTTTTAATTGCGTTTGCTCTTCATCCACCACCACCACCTATAGCAAAACCTACTTGCGTGTCACTGATGTTTTCTTTGAATTTGTCCTGACGTCCGTGAACTAAATTTAAGGGAGAGAAAAAAAAGACGATTTATATTGACACCACGTGAAAATGTATCCATTTATGGATTAGTTGTAGGTTACACGACGATCACCACACACGATTTGTTTCTACTTTTAGATTGTGGTGAGCTTGAGATTTTTGGTAATTTCTCAGATTAAGATTTATCGATGGGTAACAGCTAACCTAACCAATAAAGCTTTCTTGGACCTACGTATACCTTAGAGAGATCGCATTGATGGCTTGTCTTAGATTAGCTCCACCGCTAGTATGGACCTAACTTATATAACTCTATCTCCATTACGTGAGCGTCAAATCAAATTCGTACGCTTGGAATGTAATTAGAGTTTACTCATTTCTGATTCTTCTTCATGTTGAGAATGCATGTTTAACTAATTGTGGTAACCATACACACTTTGATTGTAAATGCTACTTTATCACCAAGTGTCTTTAAAGAACAGATCATGATACACAATACTCTTTGCGCTTATGGATATGGTGTAAGGTATCGTCAAATGTGTCAAATACTCTAATTAATCTTATTCTAGGATTGTCATGATGTGTAAAATGGGTAGAAACAAGTTCATTTAGGCTTCACCATTAATCTCTGTAGAGATACCAAACTACTTAACATATCCTAAGGCATCATCAAATCATCAATATAGCCTCGATAACAATTGTATGCATTGTCCTTACATCGTTCCTTACACGATATGGCCTACATCTCCCACACTATTGATACCATGATGACATGAACTATACTTATACCTCTGTAAATTAACCGTATCCGTAAGTCAAAACCGTATCCCGTATTTCTTATTTATTTTTCTGAGACTTTTGTGAATGTCTTGGTTAATATCTCTTATGTTTTGGGGTAATATATTATGAAAGATGTAACTTTTTCCTTCAACCAAGACTTTTTTAATATTTTTCTGAAGTTTTTGCCTAAGATCTGAAGGGTTTTTTCTTCTTCTTAATATTGCCTAAGTTTTTGCCTAATATCGCCAAAGTTTTGTCTCTATACCATAACAAATACAAACCTTCTTAATCTAAAAATACTTTGTATAACAAAAGTGGTATGAGTTGTAACTTGTAAAGAACTTAGCATTCATCTCGTGTCCTTTATCTTTCTCAACTATATTTAAAGAGATTCGTTTGTGATCTGTAAGGAAATAAACTAATGAACCACGCTTAATCGATTGTGCTTTTAAGAAACATTGAAAAAACTAATATCACAAAGTCCAACGCTCCTAAAAAGACATAAATATCATGAATTGTTATCTTGTTTCTTTTGTCAACCAAATGTAAAATACCATTGACGTATACATTTTTTCTTTCGCTAAAGAATACTATTAGCTTATCTCACTTTCTAATTACAACAGCATGTTCCACATTTCACATTATGACATCATAAATCTCATTTTCTTTAAACACCTAATCCTCAAATAATTGTTATATTTTGTGCGCACGTATAGTATAAGAAAGTAATGTTCTAAATAAACGATGTAGGTATAATGTTTTGTAATTGTATATCAACTGTGACGATTGTTTTCTAAGCATTGAGATTATTGTGACCTATATATAAAATCATATTTTTTCTTTCAAGTGCTATTATTATGGTTAGTATAAATGTGACGTTAACATATACACTTCGTTGTCTAAGTTTGATTATATTGATCGTAGACATTTGTGGAGATTGATCTAGAAGGGCTTGACTTTATACCCTAATCTAAACACTTCCTGATATCCCGTTACGATCTGCAAATCATATCAAGCCACAATTGACAGCAACACCTTACCCAAACTAAAATAATAAATATACTATTCAACCACTCTGAGAACAACGTGACATTTAAATTAAATTAAAGCCCAAAATTTTTAGTACAAAAATACTAAAACCAAACTCTATTTCTCTTGGAAAAAAACGAAAAATCCTTAATAATTTCAGTATATGTCATGAACGAGTCAAGCAAGAGATCCTTTTTGTTTGTTTGTAAATACTAACGACTTGTTTCCGAACAAAACTCACTTTATAAAAATATTTTTTTGGATCTTCCTCTCTCTCGTTCTTGCTCACGATGTTAGATCCTTCTGCGAAATCCCACAACACCCATTTGTGTTTTCCGATCATTCCCAATGATCACTCAGATTCCGGCGTCTGTTCGCCTACACTGTGGAGAACCAGTCCGCCGAAGAGCCCTCGTCGCCGTCCGGAGGATTACTGGAGTCTTTCGCCGGATTCCAAGGCGCAGGCGATCGCTCGCGGCCAACGGGAGCTTATGGAAATGGTTAGTAAGATGCCCGAGTCGTGTTACGAGCTTTCCTTGAAGGATATTGTCGAAGTGAAGGGAAACGAAGAGAAGGTGTTCGATGAAATGCCTAAGAGAACAACGAACAGGCCGAATAGAGTTGTGAGGAAGACGAAGAGCGATAAATGGGTTGATCCGAATCGAAACGGTGCGTTTCTTCTGAAGATGATGTTTCCGGTTAGCTTAGGATCTAAGAAAGATACGACGAAGAAGAAGAAGAAGACGAAGAAGGAGGAAGATTCGCAGGTTTCACCGAGAGCTTCGAGCTCGGAAGAGTCTGTGAAAGGAGAGGATAGAGATTGGTGGAATAGATTGTCTGATTCGAGAGGAAGCGCGAGCACGAAGAGGAGCAGTAGTATTAGTAGCAGCAGCAGTATTAGGAGCCGAAGCAGCCTAAGGTATGTTTTAAATCTCAGAGTTGCATTTAAAGGTTTCTTTTTTCATATTCGTTTGGGCAAGATTTGATGAAAAATTCCCAATTGCTCTTAGTTCTTAGCATCCATCGACGAACTTTACACCAATTCATTGGATTAGACTTTAATCATCTTAAAGCTTGATGCTTTAAGAGTTAACACTATATGGTATGTGCTGTAAAACTAAAAGCTCTGTTTTGGCAAGAAAAAAGTAACGACTTTAACTGATTCCCACCCTTTCACTGTGTTATGAGACTGTTAACGATCTTGTTGGTAGTATGAAATTTTGTATCTTTTGACAAAGATTGTGTATGGTGATGGAAGCTCCTCATCTTTTCCCATTAATGATGAAAATCTGAAGATTATAGATTTAAAATGATTCTTAGTCGCACATAATACAAATTGCATTGTCATTTATGGAAACATTTGGGTTTTGATGTTTGAAACTGTTGTCTGATGTATATAATTGCAGGGATGAAAACAGTAGCTGTTTATCTTTCCTATGGAGGTTACGTTCTTCACGAGACTGAAACAGAGTTTTTCTCAAATTCTTGTGACCACTTTGGCTTAAGAAAGTGGAGCTTTGATAATGCAACACTCGTGTGTGTTTGCTGTCTAAAGATCTTTGGATGAATGGTTCCGAGAACAGAGGAGATGAGACGAGAGAGAGATGATAACCATTCAAAGTGCCACGAAGATGATAACTTTTCTGCTATATACTCCTAATTTTTACTTTTTGTAAGACTATGTATCCTTTTGGAGACGGTTTTAATAATGTAAATAGAGGTTAATGCGCACTGATTACTGTGATTAGTCTCTCAATTCTCGGATTTTGAATCCTAATGTACAGTATGTGTGGCTTTTGCTTTAGTATCTACTTACAGTAATTAATGTTATTAAAAAGCCTTAAACGAAGCGTTAATGTTCAAAAAAATTGGACCGCATGGTACATGGGTCCCACTCTGGACTTTCTAGAGAATTGTTGTCTGAAATAGTTGTTCTGATCCAAACGCGCTTCTTCATTTAGGAAACGCGTTTTATCCCTACCGCGATATGGATTTTATTCTTGGATGAAAAGTCAACAGTGAAATTAATTTGGATTTAGAAAATAAAAAGTAAATTTGGTATATACTTGGTTGCTAATGATCATTACTTTCGACCTAAACTTTATTAAATTTGACGAATGATGGAAAAAGCATAATTAAGATTCTTTATTATTTCGGTCACCGACTGTTACTTTAGCGTAAGTGAGACAAAAGCCAAAATCAAAGTTTTTTTTGCATCTTGCGAAATAAAAAGTCGCAGTTGATTTATGGACGGCTAAAGCTGATGATAGTGATGATCTGATACAATCTCACAAACTCCGATCGTGTCCCGAATCACAAGTTTAGATTTTTCCGAGAGCCCTTAAACCCGTTTCGTCTTCTCGATCGTCAGACGCACAGAAACTTCCTCTCAGACTATCTTTCGACTGTTCTCAAGCTTAAACAGGTAAATTCTGTTTTGATTCGCTTCTCTTCCTTGTTCTCCAGATGTATACACATTCTGGGTTTTGTTTGAAACTCTCACTTAGACTTTTGATTCATACTTTGTTGATTGTTGTTTCCTTGATTTCCAGTTTACTGGGTTTGGTTAATCTGTCATGGGTATTCGTAAAAGAAGTCAATTTCGCGATTGGATTGCATTCTTATAAGGGTTTTACTTAGATTTCGTTTGTAATTGGTTTTGATTTACAAGTTGGTTTGTGAATTGTGATAGCCAACAGTCTTTGATCCCCTGTGATGTGAATACAGTGTTTGATCTTTACTTCTTTTTGAGCTAGCTTGCTCTCTCTGGAACTAAGAAGTTATGTTAAATAATGGTATTTCAATTTGTGTGTTATACTTATAGGAAGCTTGGAACTTGTAGGATTTGATTGAAGAAGCGATCTCGCAATGACAAATAACGCAGCTGCTTGTGCTGAGAGGGCCACTAATGATATGCTGATTGGTCCAGATTGGGCTATCAACATTGAACTCTGTGATATCATCAACATGGATCCTAGGTTTGATGTTTTTCATTATTTTTTTACTCTGTAAGAGGAATGATTAAGAGTTTAGGCTTGGAAACGCTAAAGTTTTGGTCTTGTTTTTGTTGCTATAGTCAAGCAAAAGAAGCAGTGAAGGTGCTCAAGAAACGATTAGGAAGTAAAAACTCCAAAGTGCAGATTCTTGCTCTTTATGTGAGTTTGATATTTCACTCATTTATTGGATACAATGCTTTCCCTGGCTCTGTTTATTGTACTGATCTTCTCATTCGTGGGATTGGTTCAGGCATTGGAAACGCTGAGTAAGAATTGTGGCGAGAGCGTGTACCAGCTTATCGTTGAGCGTGATATTTTGCCTGATATGGTCAAAATAGTCAAGAAAAAGGTTTCTTTTTTTCCCTTTCCCTACAATCTCTCACATGCTTGTTATATTTCGATCCTGTTATCAAATTTTGCTCACAGTGGAAATTTACCAAACTCACATATGCAGCCAGACCTCACTGTGAGGGAGAAGATACTTAGTTTGTTAGATACATGGCAAGAAGCTTTTGGCGGAAGATACCCTCAGTATTCCAATGCTTACAATGAACTCAGGGTATAGTAGACTGAGCCTTTTGTATACATATGGATTATAATAGTATGTATCAAAAAGTTGTTTTGATAACCGGTTTGAAAACTTTAGTCTGCTGGAGTTGAGTTCCCACCTCGCACCGAGAGCAGTGTGCCATTCTTTACTCCACCACAGACTCAGCCCATTATTGCTCACGCCGCTCCATCAGATGAAGATGCTGCTATTCAGGCTTCTCTGCAAAGTGATGATGCTTCTGCACTCAGGTACGCTCTTTCTTGTAGAGTGTCCAATGATCTTGTTTTGCTAGATAAATCTGTATTCCGTGTCTCAAGCATGTTGTTTTTCAGCGTGGAAGAGATTCAAAGCGCTCAGGGATCAGTTGATGTTTTGACGGACATGCTTGGGGCTCTTGATCCAAGCCATCCAGAGGTAGAATATTTGTTGCTACATGATTAGATTCAGTGGCTCTGTTGTTTGATATGATTTGAAGCACTCACTGTTCCGAATGTTGTGACAGGGTTTGAAGGAAGAACTTATAGTTGACTTGGTAGAGCAGTGCCGTACTTATCAGAGACGTGTATTGACTCTGGTGAACACTACTTCGTAAGGATTCGTTTCTTTTCTTCTTCATTAGCCTCTTGTTTCCTCTCTCTGATAGTTTTGTTAATGGTGAGAGAGAGACTTATTCCTTTTTGCAGAAATGAGGAACTTCTGTGTCAAGGATTGGCATTGAACGACAATTTGCAGCGTGTTCTTCAGCACCATGATGATAAGGCAAAAGGAAACTCTGTTCCTGCAACAGCTCCAGCTCCAATACCGCTTGTTAGCATCAACCATGACGACGACGACGATGAGTCAGATGATGATTTTTCTCAGCTAGCTCACAGGTAATGCCCCATTCCTTGCTCATTCCAGTTGAATCCAGAGACTTGGATTCCGAAAAATTATCATCGAACTCAAATGTCTGCAGGTCGAAAAGAGAGAGCGCAAGAGGAGCTGGACAAGGGAGTTTCAACCCTATTCTTCCTCCTCCACCACCTACAATGAGGCCAGTGCATGTTGAGTCCGGTGCCATGGACTTCCTCAGCGGCGATGTCTACAAACCTCAAGAACCCTCAGAGAGTGTAAAGCCTCCGAGTACTTCCCATCGAGACTCTTCTGCTCCTATTTTCGATGAGCCAATTCCCCGGAGCAAATCCCCTGAGGAAGCTTTGTTCACCAAACCGGTTTACGACAGAAGTGAGCAATTGCCTCCGCCTGCTCCATGGGATCCTGAAGGAACCAGGGTGTTCCCACCACCAATGTCTGCAAGAACCAGGAGGAAAGAATACGTCCAGCCAAGTAACGTTCCTCAACACTCAAGCAGTGGCTCTGATTCCTCTTATGACGATCTCATTGGACAGTCCCGGAACCTCTCTCTGAATCCAACCGCCCCTTCTGCTGCTGCCGCTTCCACACCACCGAAGAAAGATGACAAACCAGAGGATATCCTTTTCAAAGACCTGGTTGACTTTGCCAAAACCAGGAAATCTTCGTCTTCTTCTTCCTCCAAACCCTTCTGAGACTGAGCTGCCTGTTGTTGGCAACTACTCTTTTACCATTCTTCTTTCTTTTGTGTTCTTGTGTTTTCAGTTCATGGATGATGATAATACCGTGTTTCGTTTCATCAAATAAAAAAAAAGTGAATACTTAGAGATCTTTGATTGGATGATAGAAATCTCATAATATATATTCTTAGTATATCTGAAGTTTCTCCTTTACTTCTCTTTAGTCTAAACATTCATGATAAGTAACAAAATAAGAGGTTTACGGCTATGGCTTTGGGTTTTGGTGATTAAAGCTTTTTCCCCCTAAAACCCCTTGGACTGGAAAATCTTCAGTCCTCATGTCTCAAAAATGTATACCGTCTGCTTTGGTGATTAATAAAATCTCATGATTAATAAAATCTCAAGATTTGATTTTATTTATTACCAATTACGCTTTATTGGTACACAATTGGTCAAAATTTTGCTATGCGTTAATCTGGCGGTCGGTCAGTGATTAGCGATTTTTCAAAAATCGTTAATAAATCGGGAATTATTTGGAGAGGAAATTTTGCTATATTTTACATATTATTTAATATTTTATATATAAGATGATACATTAGTATGAAAGTCATATATTTCTAATTGATCATTTTGAGAACCGAGTTCTTCGGCTTTCGATTTTCTGAGGGTTGTTGTTGTTGTTCTTTGATGACTCTAAATCGAAATCAACACCACCTCTTGGGCCATACACGTAATATGCCTTGTTGGGATTATTACTCGACCCAAATAGATACTTATTCATGCTCGAGAGACCACCAATGAGGCGGATTAAGCACTCCCAAATCAGATTTAAAGAGATCGAATCGTGTGATCATCAAAATTTCATCAGTATGTTAAATTACATAGACTTTGATCAGACCCAGATCATTGACTTTAGAGATAATTGATCATAATCCAAGTGAAAATTTCCAGAATTTAGGCAGAGTAAACGGAAAACAAATTAAAAACTCACCAGATTATTTAAGTTTCCTACTTAAAATACCGATTAACATAGATTAAATAACACAATGATAAAGATGACAGTTCATGCCTCCACGCGGATTATCGTCAGCTGAATTATGTATTTCTCCAAAGACAAATTGTTTAGGTAAATCTGGAACAGCCGACGATGGAAGAGAGTTGGATCTGGGAAGTTCCGTAACGATGATGAGCCTCGCGAACAAAAGATCTCCTGCTAGCTCCGGGTATTTGGTCTAATCGGATTTGGACAAAGAACCAACTAAAACAAAATCTTCATCTTCGTTTGTAATAATGAAACTCAAGCAAGGCGTGCACGAAGTGGGCAGTGGCGGAGCTAGAAATGTTTTTAGTAGGAGTCAAAAAAATTTCTTCTATGAATTGCAAAATGAAAAAAAAAATTCAGTCTACAAAACCATTATACTTTTAGAGGGAAACAAACTAAAAATTACAATAAAATTTGTTACTTTTGCATTTGTTTATTACATTTTATAAAGATAGAAGGTAAGCCCAATTAACTTTCATGGTCTTTTCACTTTAAATTTTGGATAAACATTTTATAGGGGTCAATTATTAATTTTAAACATGGTCTTTAATTTTTTTACTAAATAACAAGAAAAAATAAAAATCAGTGGGGGTCATCTTTGCTTACCACAGCGAAACTTCTCGACGGGAGATGAAGTGTCAATACGAAAGCGCGAAAAGAGTTTGGAAAGGAACATTTTCAAGAGTAATGGGTTAAACTGAAAGGATCATAATGGCTCATGTAGTCTCATTATAGAAAATTGAATCTAGTTTACGCATCTTATAACTTAAGATTTATTAAATATTTTCTTTAAATCAAATAAATTATAAAATACCCTAATAAACTTCTAACATCCACCCAAACCACGACTCATATGTAGTTGGGTCGACTCCATGAGTCACAAAATTATTTTTGTTTCAACATCATCCTTGCTCTCTTTCTCATTGTTCTCTTTCCAATTCTTTTTTTTTATTGGTAAAGTAAAATCCTCCTTTGTTCTCTTCCAGTTTTCTTCTCTCAGTTAAGACAATGGCGAGGGCATATACGTCCGAGTGACGGCCAACGCCAACGGTCAGGTTCGGATTAAGACAGATCGGATCATAGTTGCAGAGAAGAGAAAGTATTTAAGAGAGAAGATTTGAAGAAAAGAATGATAGAAATCTCATAATATATATTCTTAGTATATTTTGGAATACAAAGACTCTGAAGTTTCTCCTTTACTTCTCTTTAGTCTAACCATTCATGATAAGTAAACAAAACAAGAACATCATCAGTTTTCTTCTACCAAGTATCAGTTCCTCTAAGCAAGTCCAAGTATATAGATCAGTCCCATGGGAGAGAGCCAGGGAAAGTAGCTGAGCCACAGTACCTGAACAATGCTCCAATCTCAGGGCAACCACTAGGGTAAGGTATAGTCCTGTGGAAAGGGTCACGCTTCAGCTTCTTACGCCAAAGCGAGCCAACGCATCCGTATGGATCTTCTTGAAACTGAGCTCTAACCATAGCCTCTCCTTTTAGCGCGGCTTCTTTCGACGAAACAGACGCCGGAGTTCCCACGTACAAGAATCTTGACTCCGGAAACCTCATCGCCGAACGATGCAGATTCGCAAACCTCTCCTCTTTAAAATCATAACTCACTACCTAAACCAAACCAAGCAATGATACATTAACATCACAAGAATTGAAAAAACCTAAACTTTTTGGCTTTAGTAAAAGAGCAAGACAAAGGCTTTTTATTTACTGTGATGTTCTTTGGGTAAGAGCCAGTGAGCTCTCTGAATCTACAAACACTAAAGAGCAGATTCTCAAAGCTGTCTCTTGCATGCTCTTCCGTCAACGCCCTCGATCTCACATCCTTCTTCCCTGTCCACATTACCACAATTTCAAAAAAACAATCAAAAACCACATTTTTACAAACAAATCAAGCACTCACCGAACCATCCTTTAGACTCAGCGACACTCCAATAACTCTGAGCTTCACTGCGAGGTCCTGCCTCTTTACGAGTCTCTCCTCCACTGAAGAGAAGCAGAGACTCATCATCTCTACCCGCAGCTTCAACGCCTTCTTGTATATGGCTCAAGAACGTCGCAGCTTGACCTGGATGCTTCTGATAAGACTCCAAGAACCACGACTCCTCTCTCTCGATCTTCCCGCAGTCGCTGCTCGTGTAAACAGAGTGCCCAGCAACCATCACGAGGCTTTTAAGATGAGCAAACGGGTAAAGCTCGTTATCCAGATCGGTGGTCCTCTTGTAAGCGGAAGCAGTGACTGTTGATCGGAAACTGCTCCCGTAGATCGACGACGAGAGGAGTAAGAGGAGTGTGACCCCGAACGAGAAGAGAACGATGAGGAACAGAACCGGATGCAGTTTGAGCAGGTGGTGAAGACGATTCCCGAGAGATTTGATCATTTTGGGGAACGAGTTCTTGGGCTTTCGAGATTTTCTGACGGTGGTTGTTGTTGTTGCTGATTCCAAATCGAAATCAGCAACACCTCTTGGGCCGTACGCGTAATACGCCTTGTTGGGATTGTTACTCGAGCCAAATGGATACTTATTCATGCTCAAGAGACCACCAATGCGGCGGATTTAAGCATGCCCAGATCGGATTTCAGAAGATCGAATCGCGTGATCATCAGTGTTAAATTACCAGAAAGACGCAGACTTTTTGATCGGAACCCAGATCATTGACTTTCGACAACCATTTACAGGGATTTGAGCACAACCCAGGTGAAGAATTTTCCAGAATTGAACGGGAAACGATCGAATTGATAAACTCACGAGATTAATTTCAGTTTCCGGTGAACTGAAGGGGATGTTCATAAAAGAGTTTTGCTTCGAATCCGTTGACCGGACCAAAGATCGAAGCTTTTTAAGGACAATTAACGATTTGAAGTTTTGAGCAGTGGTAACAGAAATTTAGATGCGAGGCGAGGAAGAAAATTGGAGAGGAGAGATCGTGAACACTTGAAGCCCAGATCCACATATTGGTCCATGTAATGTAATGGGTTTTTTCAGTTATGGTTCGTTATTAATATTTTGATTAAAATTTCAAATTTTTATGGTTTGTAATTAACCGCAATTGTTGTTCTTTCTTTCCTAACGTGTGCACTGACATACGAACATTGTATGTCCGATCATCATCATACAGTAATAACACTTATATACAAAGTACAAACCATTAAGCAATAACTCTTATACTATAATTGCATTAATTTATCACAAAAATACAATAATCATCTAAATCGCGATCAGCTGTTTTTCAGGAGTATCAAACAATTTAAGAGATTGTACATTCATACTTTGAAATGTAAGCTTGTTCCTTCTCAATGAATGTATATTGCAATCCCAGTTGTACATAATACATCACAAAAGGTCGGTCAATGTACCAATATGTCATTTCTGATTATCTTTTATTTGTGTAAATACTCGAGATTCGTTTCATTATCATATATTTATTTGGTCAATTCATTAATCTATTTAAAACTCCAGGCAGTATTAACAATTGAACATGCAGTGATATTGTCATGTATTGGTGCATCTGGCTTGTTGTGATGTGACACGTTCTCAACTCTAATATGTAATTAAAATTTATATTTGCTCGAATAGGTGATGTCGTGATGAATCTCAACCTCTCTTGTATGACACGAGGAGTTGTAGATGATGACGAGATGATGACGCGATTAAAACATTAGAACATGATTTTAAATTATATGTACGTATGCTAGATAATGATAATCATATTACTAAATATCACCTCTCTCTTTTTTCTTATCAGTTATCACCTCTTTGGTTCAGCCAAAAATAATAATTATCTGATGATATATTTAGAAGAAGTTCTATCCATATATCAGTTCTACAGATATGTACAGTCTAACTTAAAAGAAAAAGAAAAACATTGTAGTTCGGATGATTGAATAAATAAATCGTACAACAACTGATATACAAGAATACATAGATACATTCATATCGTTTCTCATGTCCATCTCTTACATCGATCTAAATCTGTTCAACTCGTAGTGTTCCTGAAAAAGGAAACGAAGAACCATGCACGATAATCAAAAATTTGAAAACATCAAAAACATTTTATCTGTAAAATAATAATATAAAAGATAAAAAAATATGTTAATGGTGTTTACCAGAACAAAGTAGATTTCTTTGAGAATAGGTGTCAACAATGAGCTTAACGTATCAATGTCTTCTCTGAGGGTCTCATAGCTCTCGTCTCTTGCACCGATCGCGTCCATGAACGTCTTATTGTCAGGCACCAGCTTCAAACACACCTTCATAAATTATTACATATTCAACAAAGTATTAGTACATGTTACTAAGAGAATGATGTTATTATAAGTATGAACACAGATGGCAAGGAGAGTGATCATGGTGTATACTTTGAAAGCAGCAGACGCGATCCATCCATGATGCGGTTTTAAAGTCGCCATGTAGCATTCTTCTACGAGTTCTTCCATTTTCGACGACATTTCTTTGGACAACAGTCGCAGTAAACCCGCAGTAAAATCCATTGATCTATGTGATATAAGACAGTAAAAAGGAGAGTCATAAGTCTAGCTAGCTACTAAAGAACATAAGGTAATCGTATGTGATACATATATGGAGTATTTGTTACTAAATTTGTATGAGTCGTCCAAACTTTAAAGTTATAACTAGTAATAATTGAGAGAGGGGATATGCATGAATATGAAGGACAAATTAGGTATTGTATTGATATGAGTTAGACTACAATCTTGATGGGATCCTATAATGATTTTGGTGATATTATATGATGTAATTAAGGAGTATACCGAGTGAGCCAAAGAAGAGCTCTACTGCAACTAGCGACCGTCTTGGATGTCCCCTCCTTCCTTTCTTTCTTCAGAATCTCAACCAAATTGGAGTAAACACAAGGATCTGTTTCACAAACCTTTTCTAGTCTCTACACCACCCAAAATAAACAATAAAAACATATATAAGTAAATGATAATTGAAGTGCCAGAAAGAAAAATAAGACTACGTACCCATTTTATAAAAAAAGCAGTCATATCAAAATTGACTAAAGTGTTCACGAAAGCAACCAAATAAAAGATTACAAGGATGAAATTGAATCTTTACGCAAAACAATAGCACTGAAACTTTTGGTGTGTTTATCAGCATAAAAGTTTAACAGACTTTTTATATAGATTTATTGATATTGTTATATATAGACCCACACCATACATATACATGAGTGTCAATCAATAAAGAGGAGAAATTAAAAGAATATAAAGGGTCTTTTCTTGTCTTTATATGCATGAAGTTACATTATCTTTTAATACCTGCATATTTTGATCGATGTCTTGTCTAAGAACAGCCATTGTCGGTCCTATCTTATCTGCAAACACCAATACACAAACAGCTCAGGACAATTAGAGACAAATTTAGACTCACGAACAAAAAAATGAATGAAATTATTAATTAAGAGCAATTAATTATCCAAGAGAAGAGACCAAGAACTTGGATGATCAAGTTGCAGAAGGAGAGAAGTGGCCTCAAGGGGATATGTGTAACTTCAGTGTTATCTGCATGTTTAGTTACGATGAAGAGAGAGAGCTCTTCAATGGCGGTTTGAATTTCTGTATTCTTCTTCTTCTTCTCCATCTCGTATCTCTTTCTCTTCATATCCTCTCTCTCTCTCTCTCTTTTCTCTTCCCCTCTCTCTTTTCTTTTTCGAGCTTTTATATATAGTGTAGTAGTACAAAACTGCAAAGTACAAAACATCGCTTTGACTTTAAATTATCAACTTGGCGTTATCTTTTGTATTAATTATAAAGGGAATAATTAAAAAATAAAATAAAAGACATTCAACTTTAGGAATATATTTCTTCTTCGTTATAATATGATTGAAAGTAATATTATTGTTTTAGGTTAGAAGCGGAGACAAGTAAACTTCACCAGCACAGACCATCATGGTCCATATAAAACTCATATTGTATGAACATTTATATATATATAATATATATGGGTGTGGCATGATAACAGTAATCGACTAATCGCTTACATTCCTATTCTATGATTATGATGATGGTGACCCACTCTTTTACCTCTAATTTTTTTGTTTATGGCTCTAACCAATCCGACTGTTTAAACCATAATGTTGTTTGGATTCTATCGCGCGTTTGAATATACCACACGGTCCACACCCACGGATGAATGTAATTTGCTCTCTCAAGTAAGTCAACGTACCGATTCAATTGGTCTAAGTTCAGATAGGTAAACCCATGAATGAAATGACAGAATTACGTTACTCGATCGATTTGTGGATTTGCATGATAACATAATTCAGTCATTTTAAGGATGTTACTGGTTTAAAGAAAACAAAGTTATTTTCTAAAACTTGAAAATTAAATGGATATTAATAAGAGAATTCACGTTTAAAAAACACGAATACAAAAATAAATGGCATGCAAAGTCATCATCTTTGTGTCATTGTGTTTGTGTGAGTGTATTTTTTTGTTTTTTTAAAACACCTTTGTGTTTTCCACATAATAATTATTCTATTTTAACCTTTGTTTTAGTGATTTCACCATTTTGCAATGTTACTAGTTCTCATCTTAAAAATTTAAAATAAAATTTTAGTCGACACCAGAGTACTTTCAAAAACTAAAAAAAAGGTGGATATTAACGATTATACTAACCGTTGATTTTTTATTTTAATAACATGTATTGATGGGCTTAGGGTTCCATTTAGATGTGCTGGTTGGTCATACGGCATGCAAGGATGAAATAAAAGGAATCTTCTTCGAATTTCTTAATTATTTAGATTGTCAGCTCTTCGTTCATGAATCTAATCATTTGCAGCACTATATATTAGTATATATATGTTATGTGATCAATACCGCTTCAAGATTTACTTCTGAGATATCAAATATTCATATAAAGTTTTAGTTTGCTTCTAAATTACCTCACCCAATACGACAATTAATGTTCATATATAATAATTATCAGAACATGACAAACTAAAAAATTATAAAGATACCCCAACTATCACAATAAACAAAAAGAAAACAAATGATCTAACTAAACAAGTTTTTTCTATAATATACTCCAGTAAGTTTAATTTGTTTTTATACGATTTATTCTTATTACGTAAATAATTCTCACAAGTCTATATGTAAAGTAATTCTCTATCGATGTTGGTAAAAATAACATTTTCAAATGATATATACGACAATATATAACTTATGAGAAAATGATGATTTTGCAGCTTCCAACTATTGACATGTATATAAACTAAGCTACGACCATCGAGTGTTCGAGCTCTAACAATCTAACTAGCTCACTTGCCATCAGTGGCGAATCTAGAAAAAAAATTAACTGGGGTCAGGGTAGGATTCGAACCTGGATAATATGGGTTCATTAGGCATCTCTTACCATTTCTGTAATTGTCTTGTGTTTTGGTTACATTTAAAACTTTTATCATATTTAAACGGTGTCAACTGACACCGTATGGTACTTACTAGATTCGCCACTGCTTGCCGTGCCATCTACTTCACTATCTACTACACAGTCTACACTACCAAAGCTTTAAGAAATTCAAAGAAGTGCTTTAATCACTTTGACATATGTCAAAGAGATATGATCAACAATACATAAAATCCGGACGGATCAACTGAGTCGATCGGACCGAAAACGCCACCATTATTCCTCTAATCTACACAGAAAAGCGACGAAATTACCGTATAAGGTTGGGTTCAGCTGTCGGACAAAACTAAACACGTACATGTGATCATTTTTTGGTGGTCTATGATATACTTTCGCCGTTGTTATTTCTTTTTTACAACTAACACTTTGAATAACAATACCTTTTATCGTATAATAGTAGAAATTGTATTAGAGTACAAACATCAATGGACAGTAGCATCTAAGGTCCTCCTGAGTCCCGACCATGACCCTAATGTAATTAAGGTCTTAATAGACTTCTATTAATACGAGGAAAATAGAGAATATCCATTTAAAGTATTCTTTTTAAAATAGGTCCATATACTCCTTACATTAGTGTGTAATATTACACAACTGTGACACACTATTAACACGTAGTTAACTTTAAGAAGTTTTTTCTTTCTTTCTAAAACCACTCAAAGTACACAAACAATTTCTTAGTACTGTTCTGTGAATTTTCGTCATACAGCGAATCAAATCTTAGACTTGCAAGTTAATTTCAAATCAAAGTTTAAAAAAAAAAAAAAAAAAAGAAGTTAATTTAAAATCAAAAGGCCTACCTCACCTCGAACATCACTAGAAACAAAAAATATATTATCATGGATTAATTCATTACAATATTTTATTACGAAATTGAAATACGTATAACGTTGCTAGATATTTTTTCAACAATCACTTGAGCTAAGGCATTACGCTATCGGCTTATATTCCTTTCAAATTAACTTTCATTTCATTGTTAATTTCTAGTTTAATACATTGTGGCTTGAGTAGAAGATACGATTTTACTATTTTAGCATTTTTGTTTGATTACATATTTTCGAAGAAATATTTTGAATTTGGGCCTATACTTTTCGGCCCACAAGCCACATATGTCCAAGATAACACTGACGCGAGTTTTTTGTGTGGCTCCGGGGACCGGGAAGAAGAATCGAAGAAACATCGCTGACTATTCCAATGGCTGCCTCGACCGCCATAACCGTGGCGTACGGAGCTTCGTATTTAGTTCCTTTACCCAGCGCATTTGCAATCTCTTCCCGGAGATTCTCTTCACTCTCGTCGCCGAATAAAATTTTGGACCTCAGTTATCTGCGGCGGAGAGTCAATGCACCATCGCCGACCCCGAGGCGCGTCGTGGTTCGTGCTGCCAGAACTGAATCACGCGAAGTCAAACTAGGTGCTCGAGCTCCCGATTTTGAGGTAAAACTGTAATTTTGAGTCAATGCACCGTCGCCGGAATTTCTCTAATCTTAGAAATTTTGTGTGTGTGTGTGTGTGTGTTTTTGAGTGAAGTAGCTTCCGGAGCCGCTCACTGGAAATTTGTGGAGATTAGATGATTTCGAATTGTATCCGTGTCTACTGGTGAGTATCTTCATCTCTTTATTTACAATTCCATCTTTTGAGGTGAAGATTTGTGATTTTTGTGTGTTTAAAACTCTCTGTTCTTGTGTGTTTTGTGTGTTGAGGTTATGTTCATCTGCAATCACTGCCCGTTTGTGGTTCACTTGAAGAAAGACATTGTAAAGCTCTCCAATTTCTACATGCAGGTAGGTACCAATCACCAAAACACTTGCTTCTCTCTTCTTCTTTTTCCATAGCTTTCCACTCTTTATGTGATGGAATTGGTTGCAGAAAGGCCTTGCTGTTGTTGCAATATCTTCGAATTCTGTAGTGACACATCCTCAGGTTTGTGTTTTTGTGAACTCCTTCTATTGTTTTTTTGAGATCATGTTTCCATTTTCATAAATCTTTGTTTCCATAGGATGGGCCAGAGTTCATGGCAGAAGATGCAAAAAAGTTTAAATACCCATTTCCTTACTTGTACGATGAGGTACTCTTTGTGCCTTTTTCAGCAATTTTTGGTTGTTTGTTATACTCTAATTCTCATCTTTTCATGACATTTTGGGTCTCTTACCTTAGTCACAAGAGGTTGCAAGGGAATTTGGAGCTGTCTGTACCCCTGAGTTTTTCTTATACAAGAAGGTAATCTGTGTATTGTTTTGGTATAGAGTACTATTGCCAAACAATTAAACTGTGACTTGTTTGTGAAATCTGATTCTCATATTGCTCTCTCGCCTGTCAAATGGAGCAGAATGGTCGTAGGCCTTATGAGTTGGTCTATCACGGCCAGTTTGATGACTCCAGGCCTAGCAATAACATACCAGTAAACGGGAGGTTCGTTATTTTTATGAAACTGCTTTTTAACATATTTAAGAGAAAGAGTTGTCATTATAATATTGTAAAACCTATCTTGGTATATATTTGCGTAGGGATCTAAGCCTGGCGATTGATCTTGCTCTTAGCTGCCAACCAATACCATCAAATCAAAAGCCAAGGTACACTCACAATTTTGTCTTTGTTTACATTAATGTTTATATATCCTTTTGATGGCCAACTGAGACCGACCCTGAGTTTCGTGTTTCTTAAAGTGTTGGTTGCAGCATAAAGTGGCATCCAGTAACAGAATCGTGAGCTAAGACATTGACTCTACTTATAAACAGCTGCACAACATTATGTTCAGGCGAGTCACTTGTTTAGTATGTTACGTTCTGTAACCAACAAAAGCTAGATGAAAACTGTTAATTATAGTTTGTGAACTTTACAGGTTTGCTCCAATATAGAAACTGAAAGGAGAAGAGAAGGCAAAGCAGAAGAACTTTCAAAAGCATGGCCGCCAAAAGAACATAGATAAGTGTAAACTTGTATTCATTATTCAAGATTAGTAATACAGTAATCTACTCCACGGATCCTATTTCGTAAGATTGTTCATGTGTGATGTAATTTTCATGAACAAATATAAAAAATGAGTATTAGTGTTAAACAGTATGTATTCTAAATAAATTGAAGTATATATGTGATTAGAGAGAAAGATAGAAAGAAACGATTCCTCCTGGTCAAATCCCGAACCTTGTAAGATCTGTTGAACTCCAGTTATCACCGTTGATCATGAAGCTCCCCTGAGAGATCAAGTGGTCTGGCTCCTCTGAGAATGAGCATTCCAGGATCTCTTGAATCTCTTTGTCATCGAGTAAACCCTGGAACTCGAACATCTCCTCTTGATCAAAACCTCGTTCATCTCCATGGATCTTCTCGGTTAGGTTACTGAATTCCCTGTAGAAACCAAGATCCGGATCGGTTTCTTGGCAGACATCCCAGTTCAAGGAATCTAAAGCATCATGAGTCGTTGTTGTTGTTGTCACCGGTGAATCTTGATCGGATCCGGTAGTGTTATCTGTGCTAGAAGGGCTCCGGTCAGTCACGTACTGTGCGAAAACCGCAGCCAGATCAATAACGGAACCAGCAGGGCTGGACTGGAAGCCATCGTCTTGGTTGATTAGACCATCGGATCGATTTTCGCTCCGGCCAAACCTTTTGTGACTGTTGTGTCTGCTGCGGCTTCTCTTGCGGCAGCCTCCACCGACGGGAATGTTGCGGAGAGAACCGCCTTTGGTCCAGTAACGACGACAACCTTTGCAGAAGTATCTAGGCTGAGACAAGCTGTAGTTGTTGTAGTAACAGAACTTGGTGTTGGAAGATGCACAACGTGGGCAAGGAGGAGCAACGGTCTCCTCGTGGCCGTACGAAAGCTTCCACTTCCCCGGAACGTTGTCAGTCTCCGGCGACGGAAACTGGTTCTGGTAACTGTTGTGTCCGTTGTACGGCAACATTTTTAAATGCACTTTTTTTTGAAGAATTTTGGTGTGGAAGATTGGAAAATCTAATCAAACAAGTGGGGGCACTTTGGTGTGTATTCGAGTACATGTAACTATATATAGAGAGTATGTATAGGCAAGTGTGTAGAGAGGCGAAGAAGAGCATGTGTGTGTGTGGAAGTAGAGGTGCATCGATAAATGTGTGAAGGGTTTAAGAAGTAAACGTGGGCGGTCGCCGAGCCGTGCGTCTCCTTTTCCGTTTTCTTCTTCCTCAAGTTACCTTCGATTTTGGACCTTTTTAGTTTTACTAATGTAATTAAATCACTATTTTCTTTAATTCAATAAATTGATCATCCAAGTTTTGGTAAACGACTGGATTAGTTTTTTTTTTTTTGTTTGTCACATATTAGTATTTCATACTCTCTATGGACAGAATCAAAATAATATTGTAACTAGCTGTACAAGTTCTTTTTTTTTTTGACACCATTAAGTTTCTTATGACTAAAATTCTGGTAAAACCAATTTATTTCATATCATTAATTATTGCAATCATTTGTTCTTTTCAGTTAACTCCTTAATTTGTCATGCAAATCATTATCATATGAAGATATTAACGTAGGGCAATCATATTATATAAGTGTGTACGTAGATGAGAGTCACTTACATTATCCGCATCTTGTCATCGTGAAACGCAAGACAGCAATAAAAAGTTCTTGTTAAGACAAATCATCGTAACGTTTGGTCACTTAAGCCCTTTAACAAAAAAAAAAAAAAAAATTGGTCACTTGCTCTCTTTTCTACTATCATTTCAACACTTCAAAGGTCGGTACATGCATCTTGTATATTATTATCAACTTTTTAATCCATTTCCTAAGTTACACTTGATAATTAACGCGCGCCAAATCAAGCTAGCTAGCTAGTTATTACCTGAAAGTGCAAGTATACAAATGTTGATAGCTTAAAAATACAATTGATTTATAGTAGTTTCCAAGGAAATACAATTGATTAAGATAGATTAACGCCAAGATTAAGGGCCACACGCACGGGAGAACACGTGCTGCTACCTACGTGTCGATCTATGCTTCTCTTATTTCTCTCAGTTCCTTCACATCTACGAAGCTGAGTTCTCTTTATATTGTTAGTTTTAGCATTATAATAACCATGAATGATTCTATTATCGTCGATCGATGGGCATATCTTCTTGTTAAGATATAGGTTTGATTGGGCAGTCTTAAAACTAGATCTCAGGGTAAGCACCGATCCCGATATTAATTTCGCTTTACGATACGATGTAATGAATCAACGTACAAATAAATAACTAAATTTAAAATTTAAAAATAGAAGTCAACCCTTAATTCTTTTTCGGGATGGCATTAATTCATCTTAGCTGTTCTTAGATCAAGTTTGACTCGAAGGGTTTTGACTTCAGTACTATTCTTTGAAATAAACAAAAATTTACGGATTCAGAGATATAGAATCTTCGGATCCGATGAAACAATACAAGTGCACAACTTGTTACAAGTTTGCAACTTAATTAATACTATCAAGGAAAACAAGTTTTACATCACACTTGAGAAAGAAAAAATAAATTAGCAATATTAGAAGAATTTATTTATCATCATAACAATAACGTTTTCGGTTTTTAGTTTTTACTTGATCATTAATAAGTCTTGATGGCTACTAGTAAAGTTAACATTTGGGTTGCTACATTACCATCTTAAATATTAAATGAAGTGCGGCTATTGCGTGGGATTAAGATATGCATTGCCCTTTTCTATTGATTGAATGGTTGAAAATCCATGGAACAATTGATATTAAATTCGTTTAAGAGGTTACAAGTTTAATGGCTTTAGCTTCGATACTTCGATGGGCAAGAACTTAGGAACATTTGGTGTTATTTTCATAAGAATTAGCTTACGAAAAGGTTGTTCTTCCTCATCATCAATCTCCCTTTCAGGAGACCACGGTCATAGACTCATAGTCAAAGAAAATGTCAAAATGACGGGTAAAGGTTGGCTTGGGAGCCAACTAATCTCAGGACCACACTAAAGACCTGACGGCCCATAAAGGGAACATGGGAACGGCCCAAACCATTGGTTGGACCGGGGGATCTGGTCGTGTTGGGAGTCAAAGAATACGATGGAGAGACTCCGTGGCTGGTTTGACCGATAGAGAGAGGGAGAGAGACATGGTGCAACGAGTATGGTCAAAACTCTATTTCCTTGAACTTCTATGGCAACAAGTGGCTATAGCTCAACTGGAAAAGCTTAATTATTAAAACTCTATTTTTATCTATAGATGAGATTGCTTTTGCTTTAGTTGCGATCAATATAAGTGTAGCCTTGAAGAATTTAACGTTTACAGTGTAGAAGAATATAACGTTCACAAATCACAATATAATTGCTTTTTTCGACTTAGACACCCATAATTGTGGCATTGAAGAAAATAACGTTCATAGTACACATCATATAACTTGGATCTAGTGAGTTGTTTCTATTTTAAGAAATCCGAAACATTGAAAATGCTTAGACTTTGTTCGTATCTAGAACCAGACTATTGCAACGATTTGATATTTATTCTATTAGCAAGACTATGTATAATATTGTTCCTTATTGTTAATATTGTACAATATATCGATGTTAATATTGTTCACTCGTATCCAAAACTAATCGAGATAACAATTATGTTTGGCATAATCGTTGTTCAGTGAAAGTTAGAACTCTATACTAGTTTATAAAAATACTTTTTTGTTAAAAAAAATTATGAATTTTAGAAGAATCTATGAAGACTTTGCAAGTCCAATCACTTTCCAGCAATAAGCAAATAGATGGACCTTGTTATTTGGAGATCAAGTTTGACCAAAAATAGACTCAAAGCCAAACACAAAAGACTTTTTCTCCCCCATCGTCTGTTTCCGCGTCAAGCAACAACATTTGCAATTAGGCACTTTTTTAGAGATTATCATGCTACTAGTGTAATCTTGTTTTTGCCAGAGAACAAAACATTACCATATTGGCTTATTTCAAGTGCGTACGTGTTCAAATTCTTTATTAGATATTGCAATTTTTTTTTTAATAAAGCTAACTGAAATCGAACCAAAATAAATCAAACAAAACAAAACATTTTTTTCTAGCTACTTGTTTTGAAAAAATAATTACGTATTGTATTTGTGAGATACGGTATATAAGAGTCAATACCATAGCTACTCAGACTTGTTTTAGATTAACGAGAATTTTCTTTTGAATCAAATCAAATTTTGACATCCATAATAAACCATATAAAGTCTAAACCTTAATAAATCGAAAACCAAAGGTGGACCCATTGTATAATCTTAGACAGTTATCCTCGCTTCTGGTCATGAGTCAACACAAATACACATCTTGTTTTGTATCGCCTATTGATAAATTTCAAGGCTTGTGGACGAAATGCAAGAAATCTCCTTCTTAATTTTAGTGCTGTTATGCGAGTTAGCAATATAACTGCTATATGCAATATGATATGTTTTCTAACCATTATACAGTAGAACCTCTATAAAGTAATACTCGATAAAGTAGAACCTCTATAAAGTAATACTCGATAAAGTAATACCTCGATAAATGAATAGAATTTTTGAATTTCGAATTAAGTTTTTGGTCTAATTATCTCTCGATAAATTAATAATCTCGTTAAAGTAATAAAATATCACGGTCCCAACGTTATTACTTTATAAAGGTTTTATTGTAATTGCCAGTAAACTTGCCATAAGTTATTACACGAATAATTTAACTTGATGAAAAGTTTTACGTTACATTTTCTGTTTCTTACAAGGAGCCATATATAGACTGGAAGTCTAGAACTCGAGTAAGCGAAATCAGTTACACTTATTCTTAATTTCTCCCAGAAAAGAAAAAGGAAATGTGTTACAAAGTGGACATACCTAACCATTAAATTAAACCACTAATACAGAGTCCCTACTATCGGACAAGTTTCATATTTATATATATCTCGAGATTCATTTTTTTTATATAAAACCAATATAGATTCTTGTTTTATTTTACATATATTATAAACTTCTGACCACGTCTAATTTTGTTTATTGAATAAAAGTATTGTTTGACAAAGGGCAATAGTATGGTCGTCTAGAGGAGCAGAACCGTGTAAAATCATGCCAAGTCAGCAACAAACTGTCTGACGTGACACTCATGACCTCTTCTTCGCTTTTGACTTCCTCAAGACTGGACATATTCAACCCTTTATTTACATTTTTAGTTGCAAAAGAAAAGAAACACACAAGTAATAATAATAATATTCTAATATTTTTTTTTTTGGTGCAAAATAATATATATTCTAATATTTTATAATACAAGTAACAAAAAAAAAGTAAAAACAACAACGTGAGCAGAACCACCTAGCGGGTATATATATATATTCATCATATCAATTTGCTTAGTTTTAAAAAACATATTTATGAATTATGATCAAGAGTAAAAGCTAAATTTGGAAGTCGTAAAAGCTAAATTTGGAAGTCGTAAAATTAAAAAAAAAAAAAAAAAAAAAAAAAAGAAGTCGTAAAATAAAAAAGCGAGTCTTCTCAAGCGACTGGAGAACTTTTGATCTAGGGGGTAAACCAAACCACATCTTGGTAAGAAATAGACATGAAAAAACATTTAAATATGTTAATCACTACTAAACAACCAAGTAGCCAAATTTTACCACCTTTTTTAAGTAGAAAAACTCTGCTTTCTTCATTTGACTTTTCTCTCTCCCTCTTTTGTTCATAAATGACAAATCATATATATACAGGCATTCATGTACCTTCCCTTTTCCCCTAATCATCACATAATTATTGTTCTTCACTAAAAATTAGGGTCATCACACTCACATATATACACACATATCTCATTGTCTATTTATATATTATCCTCACAAAGTGAACTCTATGGATAATAGATCACCAAGATCAAGAGAAATCTTGGGACCGAGACCGAATCCATTAAGAATATGTAAAGATTCTCACAAGATCACCAAGAAGCCACCACTAGCGCCGCAGCTGCTGCCACGGCAACTGCCACAGCCACCGGAGCTCCACCATCAAGAACCATCGCAGCCACCGCCGCCAAGTGGTCCGGTGATCATATACACCGTTTCGCCCAAGATAATCCATACACACCCAAATAACTTCATGACATTGGTTCAACGGCTCACAGGCAAAACCTCTACCTCCACTTCATCCTCTTCTCCATACACGTCAGCCCCAATAGACATGTCAGCATCAAATGACACGTCAGCAACGATGGATACATCCTGTGGCTCTATATCTCCGGCGGCTCGGTATGCTGCTATGGAGAGGGCTAATGCCTCGAACGAGTTACTAGGGTTTGTGGGTGACGTAGAGACCACGAATCAGTATTATCATCATCATCATCAGAATCGAGCGACGCAAGGGCCAAATTTTTATCCTGCTGGTATTTTATCGCCAGGACCCACTTCTCTGCCATCGATATCACCGGACTTCTTTTCTCCGGTTGGACAGACGACCGATCCACAAGGTTTGTCGTCGTTCTTCAATGACTTTAACTCTATCCTACAGACTAGTCCTTCGAAGATCCCGTCTCCTTCTTCCATGGACCTTTTCAACAATTTCTTTGATTCTTGATTTAGTTTTTTTGTTTCAAGTTGAACTAGTTTACAAGTGTTTAGAGAGGGACACAGGATGTGTTTTTACGTTTTTCTCATCATTTTTTTTAGAGACACTCTCACACGGTTAGAGGGTTTCTACTTCTGCATGTCGTGATGATTACGTCATTTGTTAGAATCAAATTGGCAATTTGATGATATGTGTATTCATGTTTGGTGGGCGTTTCATAATTTTAAACTTTTATCTTTAATGACTCTTGTCCCTCCTTAGCTGCTATGTGCTCATCGACATCAAACTGGAGGCATTTATTAATTTACTAGCTGTTGGTATAATATAAACCTTATGAAGTTGGAGTTTGTTGGTAATTTGGAACTTGTTTAGTTTTAATACTTGTCGATAAATATGGTGGGATTTGTATACCAAATGGCAAATACAGAACGTTTGATCAATCAGTGGACTAAAAGTATTTTCACATGTGTAATTGACTTTGTCTCCAAAAAAAATGAAAAGAAAAATAACAATATAAAATAGCAAATGAAGATCTTGAGTGCAAAGTAGTGACAGGGTGAAACAGCGACTTAATAGTTTTCTTGTAACACGACTTCTTTAGTCTTTTTTCTGCTTCATAGGGTGCCATGAATCTCTTTTTAGCTTTTAGTAGACACATTTAGGTTACGTATCTTTTGTCATCCAACAAACCCAACTAAATATCCTACCACAAATCTTCTAGAAAACTCATGTTAGTAATTTTATATTCATCAGATCCCACTTAATATTCTACTAAATATTTTAGCAAAATCGTGTAGGACTTCATATATTACCATCGAACGAGACTAGTAGAAAATCTTCTAACTAATCAAACCCATAAATGGAAAAATTACTACTGATCACAATCACTTTTGCTGCTTAAACAAATCTAACTTAAACCAAAAATACTTCCACGTGAGCCAAAACATGGCCGTTAATTTGGCGCCACAATAAATAACAGTTTGTTGTCGAATAAACCGGGTCTACAAAAACGGACCGGGTCATCCAGATCCAGGTCGTTCACTTATAAACCAGAAAATTCGAAACTGAAACTTAACGATCCATCATCACACTCATATACTCAAACACACACAGGACACATCTACAATTCTACATAACATATACACACATATATTTCTTTCTCATATAATGGATTCTGTGGATAATAGATCGATGAGATCAAGAGAGAACATGGAGAGAAGACAGACTCCATTGGAAGATTCTCAAAAGATCATCAAGAAACCATCCATAGTGCCGCCGCAACAACACCTACACCACCAAGAACCGCCGCCACGTCATCCGGTGGTCATATACCAATTAACTTCCAAAGTTTTCCATGTAGACAAGGAAAACTTCGCGGCAATAGTTCATAATCTCACCGGAAAATCACCCACCTCTTCTCCGTCCACGTCACCTCCGACGGCTGATGCTTACCATGGCTCGCTCTCTCCGGAGTCTCGGTTTTCTGCTATGGAGAATGCTAATCAACCGATCCAACGGCCAACACCCGCTGCGATTTTATCTCCGGGACCCACTTTCCTGCCGTCGATAACTCCGGGCTTCTTTTTCCCGGTGCCACAAGGTTCGGCGTCGTTTTCTGTGATTCTTTGTTTTGTAAAATGGGCCAATGGATCTATGAGTTTAAAGGCCCGTTAATTGACGCGCGAATGGACCGGGTCTGTAAACGACGGGTCGGGTTAACCAGATCCGGATCATTCACTTCGGTTGTTGAAACTTGAAAGCAAACAAACCAGAAAACTCGAAAAACTGGAGAAGAAGAGATTGAAATCGAAATTTTAGCGAACTAGAATTTCGATCTGGGCAGAAAAGCGAGGAATCGATTGAAATTAGGGCTTTGTTCTGTTTCCTGATTGTAGATTTGGAATCCTTCGATTTCTTGCTTCCGCCACCGTCCATGGCAGATGGGTACTGGAACCAGCAGAGACACCATCAGCCTCCGATGTCGTCGACCCCCCACGGCGGTCCTCCGAAACGTCACCGTTCTGACTTGGGTAATCTAAATTCTCCTCCTTTTATTGCTTCAGCTCGGTGTCAAGGAGCTCGATTTACAATTCAAATCTCACCTAGTTCTTAAGCTAGTGGAGCATTGCTGATTGAACAGCTTTTTAACCTGTTATTAGGTCTAAAAGTTTGCCTTTTTCCATTGAGAACAATCTCTCCTCTTAACATACCTGTGAACTTTGAAAATGTCTTTAATTTGTTGGCTTTGTATTCTATGCACATTCAGGGAATGATATGCACAGTTACATGTCACGGGATGAGGAAAGAAGTATCCCTCATTCAGTAAAAGATACAAGAACGATTGGCTCAGCTTATGACCTCTACCTACAGAGTGTGGTAAACAATCCTTATTCTTCCTTTCTTTTCCTCAGTGAACATGATTCTTCATCTGTTCTTTGTAGCAAACGCCTTCTGTGCCATCTGAAGAAGCTGGTCCGTTCAACGGTGTTGGCATGGGAAGAACAGGAGGTAAAAACATGATGATGCCTGGTGAGCTAGTGAATGGGCGTGGTGGTGGTGGAGTTGTGGCTCCGGATTATGGGCAACATGGTCGGGGTATGGGTTTCGGTCAGCAAGATTTAGTTGGTAGGCCTAGTAGGGAACTGCTTCGTCTGCCTCCTGATGCATCAAACACTCTTTATGTTGAAGGGCTTCCTTCTAATTGCTCGAGGAGGGAAGTAGCTCGTATCCTATGGTTCAAAGTTTATTATCTGTTTCACTGGAGAATGTTTTTGAGCTGTTCAGTGTTCTTAACTCTTATGTCTAGATATATTTCGGCCTTTTTTGGGGTATAAAGAAGTGAGACTTGTGAACAAAGATTCAAAGCAAGTAAGATTCACTGGCTTTTTAACTTTGATGCGTTTGTTGTTACTTAATCTTTTACTTACTAAAAGGTTCTTCTTTTGTGCAGAGGAATGGAGATCCTATCGTTCTTTGTTTTGTTGATTTTGAAAGTCCTGCATGTGCTGCAACTGCTCGTACCGCCTTGCAAGGTAAGCTGAATATCGTCCAACGACTGAGTTTTTTTGTTGCATTGTTTCTTGTAATATTTTCTTCGACGTCGTGAAGAAAGACACTAAACTGATGCTACTAAGCGTTTGACAGGATATCGAATGGATGAAGATGAAGCTGATTCCAAGATTTTGCAAATCCAGTTTTCAAGAAACCCAGGTCCAAGACCAGGGCAACGCGGAGGAAGGAGGTGATGAGTCAGTGACATTTTGGGGAGGCACATCATCAACCAAATGGTAACACACTTGATTGATCACATATTCAATCAGATTCTAGGAGATGGGGTGATTGGGAATCTAATGTCTCTCTCACTCTCTCTATGTTTCGTTTTTTGTTTGCCATCATATTGATAGATTTAGTGCACTCTTTGTTACAATCTTTTACTTTGTATGTTGGAAATTATACCAAATGGGATTTAAACAGTGTCCTTAGGGATTATATCAGTCTTTTGTATTTGTTCATTATTATATAGATTATAGTATTGGGACAGAATCCAAAACAGTGGTTTATATCACTCTCCTTTTTAACTGTCAAGATTCTGAGTCTTCTTTATTCTTGTATTAAATGTTCGTTAATACAGAAAAATAATTTAGCTTTTGCATTGTAAGACGGGCTTAAACGCCGTTCCGGTTAAACAAGCTTCTATTACAGCTTTAAACGCCGTTCAAATTACCAAAATTGTATACCATTAAATTACCCATTCGTATTTCGTTGCTTAAGATATAATTGCCACAGTGAGAACTCGTATATCGCCTAATTCAGTTTCTTGAAAATTGTTGGAAACAAAAATCAAAATCAAAAGAAAGAAGGGATTTATATAGAACTTCATACCCCGGATGTTGAAAGGTTCTTAATACTTAAACAAATAGCAAATCGGTTAAGAAATTTCATAACTAGATAAAGATATCAGTGACAGTGCCATTTATTTGGTTGACTAAAACAGTAAACACATATGGCATCGGCGATGGAGAGAAAGAGATGGATGGGTATATTCGATATCCAAAGAGCAGATGCTATTTTTCGCGTCCGACTTGTAAACCTTTTTGATGGCTTCTCTGTTCAATGTTCATTATAAATCAAGAAGCTTCATGCTCCTGTCCACGTCAATAATTTAACTATGTACATATCAATCTTTTTCTCTTTTGTTTTTCCCCCATCTTTTACAAGCAGTAGATTGCGACTACTGAGACAAGATTTGGTTTTGTTATAAGCTCATCATATTGCACATGTCCTTATGATATTATTGGTATAGTCGTCTTACACTCCTACTGGATCAACTATTATGAACGTACGTGTAAAGCCTTTAAAAGAAAAAAAGGAGAAAGATGTTAAAAGTGCGTTTTTATATTTGTTTTAAAAAAAACGCTTCTACTGTAATAATAAGGTATACTATATAACACTATAATGCGGTATTATATCATGTTAATTACCAGTATAGACAATTAAAAAAATCAATTTTATAACGTGGACGTAAATTTAAGAGAGTTAAGATGAAGAGGACGATGACAATACATGAGAAGTAAATTTTGTCCTATGTGAATTAAATGTTTCTCATGAATTGCTGAACGTAATCGGCTTTTTTGTTTTAAACAAAAAATATTGTATTCACATGTACAACAAAAAATTGAAATAAACAAATAAATATCTATGTGATCGATAGTTTATTGCTTTTAGCCACTGGTTTTGAATAACATGTTGATTAATTGCAACTTGGCATTGAATAATTGATTCCCTGCCATGATAATAATTTAACGACTTATTTAAATATAGCATTATTTTGGAGATGTTAATTATTGGCTCGAACAAAGACTAATGTTAGGAGACCGATCGGATTATGTATCATGAATTTAGGGAAAAGACACAGGTTGTTCAACTAAAATTATATTACACCATTTCATAGAATATTGACTCAACTTGGATCTAAAAGTCTCTGTTCTACTAGACTACCTAATCTAACATTATAATTTAATCCAATTTTGATCATATATATAAATCAATCACAGATTAGAGTGGTTCGAAGAGATCTTACTCTGGAAAAGACCCTCTTAACTACTTTCTTCAATATTCTTTTGTTTAGGCACTCTTGTATTTTTAGAAGACTCCTGGAAACAATGACATCTACATTTGTCATAATTTGGCATTTAAATGTTTTTAATCCTGGATAGTTTATCAATTACCATGACACACGTACTATAAATTAATTTGTTATAGCACTATGATAATAATTAAGGGAAGGGAATGGTCATTAATTTTACATCGAACAATTTTTTTAATAAGTATCTATAAAATGGGATTAGAGAGAATCAAACCACGATGTCGAGGGACGTACGAGGGACCATCTTGTGAATAAAGAATGACTTGAGTTTGAACTGCATCGCTTTGTTTCTTTCAAATCCATCTATTAAACAAAACAAAAAATGTCCGGTTTTTGTTAAACAAAACAAATATATCTTAGTACAAGTATTTTGATTCTTTTTGAAGAAAATGACGCATGTAGGAATTGTCTTCATAGACGTAAAATTATATTCTTATATGACGATCGTTTAGTTCTAACTTCTAACCTATGGTTAATTGTTTGTTTCCATAGATGTAAAATCATATTCTTCTTTGACAATCGACGAAATAATAACTTTTTCTCCCAGCATTTTCTGACGCCCACAGGTCACAGTTCACTCTGTAACGGACCTGACAACACTACTAATAAACGACAAATCTAGTAAGACAAAAATGAGGTTAATTGTTTGTTATATTTCCTTGTCTTATTCGTAATCTGACTTTAGTAATAATTTTTTTTACTGAATATGAATATCGTGAACAAATTTTGTGGTCAAACGATGATAATCGTGGATGCAGTTACATTTCTTTATCTCCTACTGTGAATCCTTGAAAAGTAGACCATGGTGCCACGTGGTTTTTGGAGTTGGGGAAGCAAGTGTATGTGTTGATGTGAAAGATTTATCGTATGTTAGTTAGGGTTTAGAGGAAACAAAGGGGTCTTGACTCAATGGAGTCAAGTGTTGGTTAATCCCGGTTAGGCGAAGTTTGATAAACTGAAGAAGTTAGTTTTTCTAGACTTATTTTTGAAGTTGTTAGATCGGATCGATGGGTACGTGTATGCATTTTAGTATGTTGTCTCTTTAATTTTCTCTTTACCTCTGCCAAGAACCTAATTAAACTTATACTCTTTGCATTGCATAATGAATAGTGTTTTAAGATGATCTCTTTTTTATCTTTAACCCATATCGTACACTTGCAACGATATGGGTTAATACTCTTTTCTAGACTTATTTTTTATCTTTGGACTTAATGTTTTCTCCTAACAGGAGAAGTGATTAAAACTTGAGTAGAAATGGTTAAAACTTGTGTCGGCAGAAATATATTTTTTCTACTTCTTATAATTCTAAAAAATTATTAACCACTGTGTCGCTGACTTTTCAGAGTAGATATATGGAGTATGTGATACAAATAGAAAAAGCTAATGCTCCAATACGACGAAAACAATAATTTACATCCTTTTGTATTTTTATCCAAAATATTGCATATATATTGATAAATATAACATTTTTCAGCATAAAACATAGGCTACAAGCGGCTACAAGCTAAACAAACCTCATTTTTTTTCTTAGCAAAACTTCTAACACATCAATCTTCTAAATTATGTTAACTATACATTTTTTCAAGAGTTAGTTTTCACTTTTCACTAATCATATTTGTATGATTTGAAATCCTTTATACTTATAAAATTTACAGTCAAACTAATCGTCATAATATAAGTATACATATAATACGTATATGAAAAGACACACCGATTGCGGACTGCATATTGGGACACATTCGGCGACCCGACAAAACTTTACGACAAATAACGATTGTGTACGTGTTTCTAATAATTATAGTTACAAATATATTTGCTATAGATTACGTTGATTTGTCGACGTGTATTCTCTCTTTTTCATATCATCTGAAAATATTTTATTGGTCAATATGAATACGTTGCACGTAGCTAGTAGCTTAGGGATCGAATATGTTTAGAAAATTCATATCGAACAAGGAGGCCATGTTGCTTCTTTCGATATTGCATGTTTCTTTGTATCAAGCCGTTTAGCGTGGATATATCAATGATTAAATCTCTTACTACTTACTAGCTCAAAGAAAGTTATATGGCAAGTTAGTGATTATCAGAATATTACCCTACTCATCAAATGGACAAACGTTATTTTTGGATTTCTACTAAAAAATATTTTGTGTTTAAGAAATATCTGAAATAATATTCAATCTAAGGGGTTGCATAACCTAATCAACTTTTTCATTAAATTTGGCAGAAACATTGTTAATACTCCGGCAGTAAAATATTAATTGGAAAAGAAGAAGAAATACAATATCAATTAAATTTTTAAAAATCACTTCGAGTTTTTTTTACTAGCCCTTCAGTTTTTCTTATGGAATTGTTATCTTGTCAAATACGTAACCATTATTACTTCAAAGCTATCTTCTTTCGAAGTGGAAGGGGGTCAAATATGAGCTCTATTTTAACAAAGGAATCTAAATAAATATAACTATGTAAATATTATCATCAAAGGTAACTATTGTCCTGTTACTTTACAAATGACTAAATCAGTATGACGGTGAATATTCTTGCAATTTGTTGACGCCTCACCAAGAAAATCAGCTTTCAAGGATAAGTTTTTTAAAATGCGAAGTTGTTAATTTGTCCAAGTCCTAATCCAGCTGCTTTTAAAAAAAGGATAACAATTCAAGTTTTTATCACCTAACTTGTTTTTAGTTATCGTCTTATCTTGAAAGTACTTGACCAAGCTTCGGTTATTAACTAATTTGTTTATTTTGATATATAGAAGCTGAAACATTGGCATTTGATTCAATAATCGTCCCCATATTCAAATAAGACCAGCCGTAGTAATTCGTCTACCAGACTACCATGTTCTTTTGTATGTCCCAAGTCCCATGTTAGTTAAGTCATAACCCTATCTTCGATCTCTTGGAAAATTTACATAATCAAGATAAAAATAGTTGAAAGGATAAGAAACGTGTTATAAAGTTAAACAAAGGAAAAGTGAGGCAAAAGTCCAAACCTAAAATGGAAGAATCACTGTCATCGGCAGGAACGAGACTCGGGTGTAGACAGACCACCTTCCCTCTTATGTAGCTATGTTCCTTTCACATTTTGAACTCGGCCGCCTTGAGTCAACGGGTTCTTTGTTTTTTACTCATCTTAATAGCCTATTTTATTTGGTGAAAATGTTGATTAGAAAACTAAAACTTGATATATAATTGTCTTTTGTTGAAAAAGAAAGAGGTTAGCGATTTTAAGAAATTATGTAAGTGCAAGTGTTCGATGAACAAGTTACGTTACTATGAAGGTTTATAGGTTCACTATTAGTCGATATAGGTCCACTAGATGAAAAACAATATTATACGTAACTGGATCTTCTAGGTAAAGACTCAAACTAAACAATACGTCTTCGATTGTAATTTTTCTGTATCTATGGATACATCCACTAGAAGCTGATTCTGTATGCTTTAGCTGCAAAACTGTTGGATATAAAGCATTTTGATTGAAGATGAATGAATATCTACCTTGAACTGATATTGTTTTTATTGAATGTGGCTTTGGTTACCTTTTGTAAACAAAGTGAACTAAGAACAGGTATGGTAAGCATCTTTGACCAGTAGCAAGTAGGTGACGTCGAAAATAACCTTTTTACCTAAATCTAGTGTTTATGATTATTGCTGATCTATATATTCATCTCTATGCGGCTGGTCCATTGCCGAAATTTCTATTATGCATTAGGAACACACTCGAACTCGATCGAGTTTAATAAATTGAACATATTGTATTTCTTTTGAGTACTCAAAATGAATCTTGCCTAGGCTTTATCTAAAGCATTAAATGCAAAATTATTCGTTTCCCATCGTTCATAAGGACTTGTATAAGGAGCCAATAAGAAAAAAATCAGAGAAAATAAAGATGCATGTACTTTTAACAAAAAAGTTAGATGATGCATGTAGAAAAGGGCGACAACTTAATAACTTTGGTTAGTTATCTATTTTAACGTGGTCACAAATGGTTCTCTCATGTTTTTTACCCTTCTTAACTTAAGAAGGCCATCTAATTTTTATCACAACATTCTACAATTTATTTCTATGCTTTTGTGACATTGTATCTTTGTTCTCAACTTTTTTTCCCCAAAAAATTCTACTAACTAATATTGAGAATTATCTTTAGGACCATAATAAAATCGTGAGATTTCGGAAAAAGAGACTCTAGATCTAACGTTATAATAATCACGAGATTGGATACGTTGTTCGAACATGGAGAACATGTCAATCATGTCAATCCTCGACGGCTTAAAAAAATAAATATTGAAAGTCGGAGAGACCAACGTCACTTCGTTCTCTATAATATATGTTTGGTGTACATCATTGCTTGTACTTTTTACATGACTTAATTTACCATTTTACAATGAGGTATCAAAGTGAAAAAAGTGAAAAAGAAAACAGCTATATAAAGGGTGTGTAGGGAAGACTCTAAGAGCATAAACCAAAGCAACAAAACAATCAATGGGGTCTCCAATGGCCTCTTTAGTAGCAACTTTGCTTGTCTTGACAATCTCTCTCACCTTTGTATCTCAATCAACCGCTAACTACTTCTATTCTTCTCCTCCACCACCGGTTAAGCACTACCAATACAAATCTCCACCACCACCGGTTAAGCATTACTCTCCTCCTCCGGTCTATCACTCTCCACCACCGCCTAAGAAACACTACGAATACAAATCTCCACCTCCTCCGGTTAAGCACTACTCTCCCCCTCCAGTTTACCACTCCCCACCACCACCCAAGAAACACTACGTGTACAAATCACCTCCTCCTCCCGTTAAACACTATTCCCCTCCTCCGGTTTACCACTCTCCACCACCACCCAAGAAGCACTACGTGTATAAATCCCCACCCCCACCGGTTAAGCACTATCCTCCTCCGGTTTACCATTCACCACCACCACCCAAGAAACATTACGTATACAAATCTCCTCCTCCTCCGGTTAAGCACTACTCACCCCCTCCGGTCTACCATTCTCCACCCCCACCTAAAAAGCATTACGTCTACAAATCTCCACCACCACCGGTCAAGCACTATCCTCCCCCAGTTTACCACTCTCCACCACCACCAAAGAAGCACTACGTGTACAAATCTCCTCCTCCTCCAGTTAAGCACTATTCTCCTCCTCCGGTTTACCATTCCCCACCCCCACCCAAGAAACATTACGTGTACAAGTCTCCTCCACCACCAGTTAAACATTACTCTCCCCCTCCAGTTTACCATTCCCCACCACCACCAAAGAAACACTACGTATACAAGTCCCCTCCTCCTCCGGTTAAACATTACTCTCCCCCTCCAGTTTACCATTCCCCACCACCACCAAAGAAGCACTACGTATACAAATCCCCTCCTCCTCCGGTTAAACACTATTCTCCTCCTCCGGTTTACCATTCCCCACCACCACCAAAGAAGCACTACGTATACAAATCCCCTCCTCCTCCGGTTAAACACTATTCTCCTCCGGTTTACCATTCCCCACCACCACCGAAGAAGCACTACGTATATAAATCACCTCCTCCTCCTCCAGTCCACCACTACTCTCCTCCTCACCATCCTTACCTCTACAAATCACCTCCTCCTCCATACCACTATTAGAATTCTCAATCATGGTAACTACTCTCTCAATACTTACATATACACGTGGTGAATGCATTCATGACAATAATTATATATCTTGTATATACTTTGCAGGAGAACACGATGTACGCAAGAAGACAAAGACAAGACGGAAACCATCATTGGTGATTGTAATAAGAGAAACACAGAGTCAGAGAGAATCCACGCAGAGAAAGCTTTCTCATCATTTTCCTTCTTTTAAAAGTTCTATTGCAATAAATTTGAAACATGTATGTGTTGATCAACTAATGGTCCTTCATGCATGCTATCAGTAGTCATATAAATGTTTGTAAGTTTCTTTCTTTCTGATATTTTCATGTGCAACTTTGCTTTGTCCGATTGATAAAAAGAATATCATAATATGAATGTCTTTCTTCAGTTCTCCTGCATGCAGCAATGCGCCACTCTAGTTATTTATAGTCCAATTATAAGAAATCAACCACAATATAAACAAGTTTCAATATATTATAGTAAATTTGTGTGTTTGTGTTACATTCTTGAAACAAACACCGTTTCTCGTAAACTTTTATATAAGAGGAAGAAAACGCGTATGTTACATAGATGCTATTATAATTGTATAGTTAGAATTCTCATACGATAAAGAAGAATGGGTCAATCGTCTTTTAGTTTAGTGCGGTACAAACTTGAACTGATTCGTCTATAATTTTACATTTTATATATATATTTGGGGTCACCTACTCTCAGTCTAATCAAAAAGGTTTTGTTGATTAGTCAGTTAAAGTAAAGATGTGGACCTTAAAACGAAATTATACGAAGATGAAGTCTATATTAAATTATTAATGCATGGCCATCAAACCAAATCAATTTTCCCTGTGTTTCTTCATGTTGTGAACGGAAATTCGCACAAGATCTAAGATAAGAATTTAGGGGAATTAAGATAAGAATTATATATCGATGATCTACAAGAAAGTCTGAAAACATAAATGTTCTTCAGTGCCATTTGATACTCTGGTTTTTAAAATGTACTTAGGATGTAATTTTTTTGACATAGATGTGACTGAGCTTATCAGCAGCATAGTTGGATGTGCAACCATATGCAACATTCTTGATGCTGTTTATAATAGCAAGTGGTACTACGAGTATCCCCTTGTTGCTGAAATCGAGTACGCATATGGAAATTTATTGGTAACACGATTTAGAATATATTTCCAAAACTCTAAAAAAGTTCAAGATAAATTATGATGAAAATAGAGTTTTTTTATGGATGTTCAATTATTGAAGATGAAGAAGAAGGAACTGTTGTTGCTTGGAAAACGTGGAGGATAGATAGCACTTAGCAGAGAGCAAATCACGTGCAATTTGATAGTGAGTTTTGTAAATGGTAAAAATGTGTATTTTGTAAGTATGAGGCAAAAAAAAAAGAAAAGGTCATACCGTCATAGCTCCTAAAACAGCATCCAGCCTTGGAAGGTGAATTCTAGGAATTAACAGAGTGACCTGAAGGTCATTTACCAATTACTGGTTGTAAATGACGGTAACACAAAAAAAAAGTGAAAGTGATTGCTTGCCAAGAGTTAGTAATTAAGTCTCTGAATGTGTGATTAAATGGAACAGAGTTGAATTTGGGAGTCTTGGAATGGATTAAGAGATTTGAAGAAGCCATAATCGTCAGAATTTCTTTTTGTGAAAATAGTTTTGGTGTTTCGTTATTTTACTATCTGAAATTCTCAGTTTGAGGGAACAAATATAAAAATAGAAAAAAAAAAATCAGAAAATACAAAAGGCGAAGACAACTACAGTAGTCAGTAGAGTTGATCTAGAAGAGAGAAGCTGAGGAACAGAACCGGGTTTGTCGACGGATCCATCGCGAGACCCGACCCGACCCGACCCTTGTACGCCAAGAGAGTGATTCGGTCGCCGATTATTGCGATTGGAAGATCCGTCAGCAAGGTGATTGCGAGAGAGAGAGAGAGAGAGAGAGAGAGAGAGAGAGAGAGAGAGAGAGAGAGAGGAGAAGCTTTTCGAATCATGTTCATGGAACCTCCTCCATCTCTTATGACCAGGTATTTGAATTTTGAAAACAAGTTAGCTTAGAGAGAGAGAGAGTCGTCAGTGATTGATATGATCTTATTGCATTGGGATTTTGGCGAGATTGAATTCCTCGATTTTCAGTTTGGGAGCTACTGTAATGCTGGATTCACATGATATATTTGCGTTTGCGTTTGCGTTTGCATTTAGAACTTATGAAGCAAAGATTCTCTAGGGGTTTTGCAGCTGAAACAAGGATGATCTGTGTCTTAGTTATCTGGAAACGGGTTTACACATATTCGAATTTTAAGTCCTCAAATCTTAAAAACAAGGATCCTTTTTGTATATCTCTCGCCATTATAGCAATTGCCACAACAACTCATTAGTTTTTTTCTTTGTATCTTAGCAGAAAACACTTCTCATGCTAATTGCTCACTACTCAATACTCAAGCCTCTTTGTTTCTATAGGGATACTGAATATTTTTCAGATCAAGTGTCTCTGAAAGCCCGCTTATGGTTTACAGGGGAATGCACATCACTGAAGCTCTATATAGTCTATAGCATTGAAACACTAATGGAAACGCACTTGAGCCTTTTCTTGTTGCTGTGTCTGACTTTTAGAATGCTTTGATATATGTTATATCTATGACTTTGATCAAATCTATTTGCTTTTTTCCAACGCATTAGTAATCAGATTCATTGACACATAACAAGAGTCTAAATCGCCATACAATAACATTTTATATATATATATTCATTATCTTTAAGAAAGCATGAGCACAAAAGAATCTTTATAACATAGACAAACGGTTTCATTTTATTTTCTTGGACATAAGAGTATAGGTAATAGATGTGAGCTTGAGGAGTCATAAATCCCAAGTGCAAACTCAGCTTGTATTATTCTCACCACTAGTCTCCCCTTGCTCCGATAGGATCTGAACACCGATCAAGCCCTCAGGATACTCATCACACCAATGGTGTTTCGCTTTCTTGTCTTCCAAGGCCTCGAGAACTGCAGCAACTTCCTCCATCGTCGGCCTCTCATCACCGGTCGCTCTTGCGCATTCCACCGCTACTCTTGCAACTTCCTGGATCGCACTCTGATTGGTCTCGTTCATCACTTGGCCGTCTATGATCTCGTGGAACCTCTTCTGTTTCAACGCAGAAACGTAGTTGTCCACAAGATTTCTTGACTCACGTGGTCTCTCAGAATAGTACGCCTTCTTACCGGTCAGGAGCTCCATTAGGACTATACCATAACCAAATACATCGCTCTTCTCGGTTACTAACTCTCTATCGTAGTACTCAGGATCTAAATACCCGAGAGATCCTTTCACCACAGTAACCAGCTCTCTTTTCTCCATGGGTATGAGCCTCGAAGTACCGAAATCGGCGAGCTTTGCAGTGAACTTGTCGTCCAGCAAGATGTTGGCTGATTTCACGTCTCTGTGAATGATCGGGACAGAGGCGGATGAATGTAGATAGGCCAGAGATTGAGCGACTTGTATCGCTATCCGCAGTCGACACTCCCATGTGAGAGATGTGCCTAGCAAGGAGCCGTGAAGGTGGTCGAAGAGCGTTCCGTTGGTTGCCAATTCGTATACCAGCAGGGGAGTTTCAGACTCGAGACAGCACCCGATCATCTTAACCACGTTGCGCTGGTTTACTTTAGAAAGCAGTAGAAACTCGTTTATAAACTCGTCAGGTTCGCTTACTAGAGCTTTCTTGATCGCCACGGTGGTGTTGTCGGGTAAGACACCTTTGTAGACCGTGCCTTGGCCTCCCTGCCCAAGGATGTGTCTCTCATCGAAGTCATCCGTTGCTTCCTTGAGGACGCGCTCGTTGAAAAGCTTCACATTAGCCTCTGATGCTCGCTGTACCAACATCTCGCCGCCATTCTTCTCAAAGAACTTGTGACGGAGCTTCTTGTATTTCCGGTTCTTCAGTCTCTAGTCTCTGTTGCACACCGAGAAGGCCAAGCAGGATGACCAAGAAGCCGATTATGGTTCCTGATCACATGAAAGCGAAACCAGACCTGTTTAAACTAATTTTTTTTTTCATTAAACACTGATGAAGGAAGCCACCGCTTGCTTACCAAGGAGAATCGTAGGCCATCGAGGATCTTTAGTCTTGCAGCTCATATTAGAGGTATCTAAGCGTTGACCAGATGGGCACTTACAACGGAAGCTTCCAAGCGTGTTCTCGCAAGTGCTGGACCTTGAGCAGTTATGTCTACCCATACTACACTCATCCATATCTGGTAGCGTGAGACAGACGCAACAAGAAATGTGTAAAGAGAGTAAAACAACAATTGATCAGAAAAGCAAAAGAAAGAGAAAAGAAGTACCTTTGCAACCGAGTGGAGTATAGTAAGGGTTTCCATGATACCCTTGTAAACATTGGCAATTGTAACCTTTTCCGCGAGTAGCATCCACACACGTGGCATTGCCGCTACAGATGCTCGCGTTTCCAACCTGATTGCAGCTCACTTCCCCAACAGACCAGTCCAGGACCACAGGGAACCTTGTCACGTTCCCCAGGTTCTTCATATCTCTCAGAGGATCGAACTTAAAAGTACCATTCTCAGCGAGAAAGGCGTAGGTGCAAGGATTAAAGTCGTGCACAGAAGGAAAACCGTCCAAGCGAACGGAGTCAATTTCGAATTCATAGCGCCCCAACAGGGGAGAGACCTCTGTTGTACAGCAACCTCCACCTTTACATCCTACATTTTCCGCTGATGGAGAATTACATAATGACAAGCATCCAGTTGCGTGCTCCCGCATTCCAAACGTGCTCACAAGTGCAAAAGCGTTGCATCCTACTAACGTTAACTTGTTTTTTTCGGAGAGAGAGAAACTACCCAGCGTATAATTGCGGTAACTTTTCTCACTCACATTTCCTTCGTTATTATAGCAAGTGTACACCATATCCATCCATACCCGTAGCTCGCCGCTGCGAGAAATGTTGATGACTTCAAGGCTTCTAATGCCATCAAAGATTGATAACCGCTTCTCTCTCTTGTCACATGTTACTTTGAAAGTTGGGTCTTCGGAATAGTGGCAACTTGGAGAAGTGCCAAAAGGGTATATAATGGACACGTTGCCACAATTAGTTTGACAATCTTTTCCATGTTGCCCCTTCACCAGCTGCGTAGATGCAAAGTTCAAAAACAAAGCCACGAAGAGCACCGTCATCCTCTCCATCTCTCTTTCTCTCACTTCTAGGCTTTCTCTGTATATCTGTTTCTCTAAACTCGAACGAGTCTAGTTTTCGTTAACGCTAATGTTTATTTAACCACGGAGGATGTCTAAGTATAATTTGGTATCCCGGCCTAATTATTTTTTCCAACGTTTATGTCTTGTTGATTTAATATTATGGGTTACAAAGTCAAAGAAATTATAGGTATTTCCAGACATGAACCAACTTAAAATTTATAAGCTAAGAGTATTGTGATACCACCATATGTCTTGTTTTACTTTCTTAACAGTAATTTCCACCTCTAAATACTAAGCAAATTGCCATTATGGGGAGATATAGGACCAGTTAAGGCTCCTGATCATAACACGCTCCATGTTTTGTTTAGTGTTATACCTAATGGCTTGTTTACCCTCATTATAACACATCACATTAAGATGTTTAATTTATTATGACTTATGAGTAATTAGTCCACAAAACAATGAAGGAGAGTTTTCAGTCTCTTCAAGAAAAAATATAAGGCTCGTTAAATGATCCGTTTACTTCTTCTATTGATGTACATCAACTGAAGTCCATGTCAGTGTTATGATATGATGATATGCCATATAATATCTCCCATATATGTATATAATCTATATTTCCTTCCGTTTAACAGTTAAGTTATAGTATTTCTTCGTAGGTTTGCTTTCTGCATATGGGATTAGGTTTTCATGAACTCTTAAATTTTATAATACTCATATACCAATTCAGGAGAATTATGAACTTGATTTTATCGATGATCTCAAAAGGATCCCAACCATAAACGTTCAACTTCAGCATATGTCCTTTCTTCTTTTCTTGATAATTGATATTAGCAAGCAAATTTACATTTCTTTTCTCTTAACAAGTTATTAGCACCTCAAAATCATTTTTTTAAATACGAAAAAACTGTCATATCTTATATATAATAGGAGAGTTGCTCTCTCCATCTAGGCTATCCACATCAGCAAAAAAGTTCATTAAATTGTTTTTAAGATATTTAATACATGACTATTCATATTTCTTTACCTATATTTATATTTTTAAATATAAATAAAACTAAGAAAAATACACAACTAAATTACTTAATTAATATAAAGTATGTGATAACTTGATGTTAAAAGTTATCAAAAAGTTTGGATATAAGTAAAAATATATTTAACTTGAAATGGTATATATTTACCTTTTTATTAAAAGGATTTATCCTACTTCAAAATGTTATAATGTGTTCACAAGTTAAAAAGTTGAATATAAATTAATTAAGATAATAAAAAACCAATGAGAAATTAGAGTTAGAGTTTGCTTTTTTAAACAAATAGAAGTTGTGACATATGTTTGTTTCCAAATATATTCAATTACAAAACTAACATAATAGAAAATAATCAATGGTCATGAGGCTCATATGCTACCACAACAAAGTAGATATGTATAAAAGTATATATATTATTTTTTCATCTTATTTCGGTGCAAATGCGATTTTACATTATACTTACAAATTTTAACACTGAGTCAAATACATATGCATGTTTATAGTCTAACAGAAGTAAACAAACATAATATTTATAATATGCTAAAATGTTAGAAATAGAAAATTCGAGATAAAGTGAGGTGTTAACATCCTAATAAAATAAAATAAAAGGACACGTGATATGAAATAAAGTATAAATAAAACTAAACAGAAAACATTGCAAACAACCCCGCGCTTGCGCGGGGCTTCAAACCCTGCGCTTCAAACCTAGTGAGTAGTGACTATGCCGCCTATGCAGGAATAAGAGTCGCGTGACTCGTGATCACAACATGCTCTGTTTTCATGAGATGCTTTTTATTCTTTTTTTTTATAAATAATGTTGCTTTATGGGGGTAATTAACCTATTCTCATTTTCTAAAAATAAAAGTTTATCCCGTCGAATTCGTTTACTCGAATCGTTGACTTTTACAAAACATATACTCCCTAAATATATATAGATTTTTCTATTTTTATATTGTGTGTCTAAGTATAATTATTACGAGTGTTTTCAATCTGCTGAAAACAATTGTAATAAAGAATTAAAAAAACAGTTATAGACTCTTTAACTTTAATCATGAGATCTGCTAGGGCTGTTCAATTTGGTAAACTGAACCAAACCGATCCGAACCGAACCGAAATAGGTCATGTGGTTTGGATTTGGATACACTGTATAAACTATATGGATGCAATTTTATATAAACCGTGGATATTAAAATGGTTTGAATATTAACCGACCGAACCGCAAAAACCGAATAATTCTATATATTAATATATTAGTATATAATATACACATGATATATAATAATAAATTTAGAGTAATCTTATAGAATTATATATCTTTAATTTACCAAGATTTAACAATTAACAAACCCTAAATACTAAAACATAGATCTTTAGAGTTTTATACTTTAAAATAAAACATGAATTTGCATTTCTTATTTGCATTTAATTATTCAATTACCAGAAAAATTAAAATATCTATATAATAAAATAATAATCAAACAAAAAGTACAAATAACCCGAAAACCACATTATTTGAACCGAAAATATCCAAACCGAGAAAACCGATAACCGAGACTATCCAAACCGAACCAAACTGAAGTAAGTATGGTTCTAGTATGGTAGCTATTTTTTATTAACCGAAAAATCGAATACCGAAAAATCCGAACCAAAACTGAACCGATATCCGGATTGAACACCCCTAAGATCTGCTATTCGGTTTATACTCACTTTTTGTGTTCTCATCTTTCTCGTTATGAGCGGTGGCAAAGGTAATCTTCTAATTAATTTACTTTTTTGATTTTGTTTGTTACTTGCGGAATGTAAAACACTGATTATTAATAATCGCCAAAAAAACATTGCTGCGCCTATTTGTATCGTGTTGCACTATTAATTTTTTTTTTTTTTTGTTAAAGATTGCACTATTAATTCTTCATCTAACAAACTTCAACTACCAATTATAATTTATAATTTCTTTTAACAATTGCTTTTTGGTGCTAATGTAAAATAATAGAAGTGAAGGCGTGTATTGCAAAGGAAAATGTCGTGGAAAACTGCACCAATTATAGATATTGCGCGACATTCATGGAGAGAAAATTGAAGAAAACAATTGTGTCTTGCGATTATAAAAAGTTACAAGCGACCAAGTGTTCTTGCGAATGTGGCTATGTATGCTGAGATGAAAATCTAACACTACAATAAACCAACATCTCTTTAATCTTTACTAAATAAATGCAGTTGCAGAGAAGTTGTGCAAGTTAAGTGTTGAGATGACTGACCCATATAAATTATGTTAGTCTCATATTTCTTTATTTTCTTAAACAATGTTACGAGTTTATATTTCATTAAGTAAAATGAGTTTTTCAATTAGTCAAGTTTCCATGTTCAGCTCTTCCATATTGTAAGTTTGTAACGATCCAGTTACAAATTAATGTTATAACAATTTATTAGAAAGTTGAAAAGGATGGTAAATAGTAATGGTGAGAAACTTTGTAGGATTTGAAAAAAAAAAAATCAATCTATTTCCAAATTGTTTATCCTTGTCTCCTTGATGAAAGTTATAGGAAAAAATGTAAAGTTAAATAATAATACGATTGATAAGTATATATATCGCTAAATAAGTGCCTAAAAATAGTTTTGGACTCATAGACCCAAGTATGTTTTTTTGGTAGTATATATCAATGTCATATGGAATCATATTTTCATGAACTTGCCGAATTTTCTAAAACTGAATCAGCTACTGGTTTATTAGTATACTAATTCATGGTTTTATTGATGATCTAAAAGGATCTCAAGCACAAATGTCCTTTCTTCTTTTCTTGATAATTAATTGATATTAGCAAGCAAATTCACATTTTGTTTCTCTTAACAGTTATTACCACCTAAAAATCATTTCTTTTTCAGACACGAAAAAATTGTCATATACTAGTGACTATGCCTATGTATGAATAAGAGTCCTTATCACAACATGGTCTATTTTATTGTGATGCTTCAATTGAAAAAAAATAAATATATAGTATTGCTTTTCGATTTACTAGACCCTAAACTTACTCATATGTATATGTAGCCTCCTTAATCATGAGATCTGCTACTTGGTTTTTACTCACTTTTTGTGTTCTCGTCTTTTTCGTTATGAGCGGTGGCAAAGGTAATACATTAATTTACTTTTTTGATTTTGTTTTGTTACTTGCGGAACGTGATTATTAATAATCACCAAAAAAACATTGAAATCGTGTTGAACTATAAATTCTTTATCTAACAAATTCAACTACCATTTAGAATTTAGAATTTCTTTCTAACAATTGTTTTTTAATGCTAATGTACAATAATAGAAGTGGAGGCGGGGTTGTGTGTTGGATTCGAAGTTTTTAAAAACTGCATCCCTGGGGATAATGATTGCAAGAGACCCATGAGGAGAAAATTGAAGCAAAAAATTGGAGAAAGTTAAAAGCGACCGAGTGTTCTTGCGAATGTGATTATGAATGCTGAGATGAAACCTAAACTTTATAATAAACCAATATATGTTTAGTCTTTACTAAATAAATGCAGAGAAGTTGTGCAAGTTAAGTGTTGAGATGACTGACCCATATAAATTATGTTTTAGTCTCGTATTTCTTTATTTTCTTAAACAGTGTTACGAGTTTATATTTCACTAGGAGGTGATCCGCGCTTCGCGCAGGAATTTATATTATTGTGTTAATTTTATTATTTTTCCGCAAATTTAGTTTATTTCTATTGTTTATTATTGTTTCAAAAATATTACACATATTAATTAAAAATAATTAGGATTAGCAAAATTAACGTACTGTCTTGTCCATTGTATCCCATTTCGTTCATTTTCATCATGTCCATTCTTTTTTCTCATTCATCCTGTCTGTCCCGTCCGTCCTATCCCATTATGTTCCTTTCCATTTTGTTATCCCATCATGTTCCTTCCGTTTCTTCTCGTCCCGTTCCCTAAATATAACTAAGGATAGACAAAATTCCCGTATAGTCCCATCTCGTCCCATTTCATTCATTTTCATCTTGTCCCGTTCTTTCCCTGTCCCGTTCCGTCCTGTCCGCCCTATCGAGTCCCATCATATCTGTTATATTTTTTTCGGTTTTGTCTTGTCTCTGTCCGGTCCCTAAATATAATTAGGGGTAGGTGAAATTACTGTCCCGTCCCTTCTCGTCCCATTATGTCCCTTTCATCCCGTCCCGTCCAATCCCGTCTCATTCTGTTTTTTCATCTCGTCATGTCTAATTTGTCTGTCTCGTCTCGTCCAGTCTTATCCCATTTCTCTTGTTATGTTTTTTCGTCTCATCTTGTCGGTCTCGTCTCATTTCATCCCAAAATAGTTAAAAAAATCAGTGTTCTTTTTATAACATCTTGACATCAATGTAAATTATATAATCTAACAAAAATAAATTTACTAAATAATAGTTTTTCTAGATTTATACATAGTTTTCTCCTTTTTTAAAAGTGACTTTTCATATTCTTGTTAAACTTATTATAGTAATGAATGCTAATTATTATGAAATTAAAATATTAAAAAGAAAAAATATAATAAATTAAAAAAGTGATGATATGGCAAAATAGAAAATTTAGAAGCTATGAGAAGAGAGAACATCAACTTATATATATAGATTAAGTAAAATGAGTTTTTCAATCAGTCAAGTTTCCATGTTCAGCTCTTCCATATTGTAAGTTTGTAATGTGATCCAGTTACAAATTAATGTTATAACATTTTATTAGAAACTTTTTCTTGAATGCAGGTTAAGAAAATATTTTTCTAAGCAATATTATTATTGTAATTTCATACAAAAATTTAATTGAAAAGGATGGTAAATAGTAATGGTGAGAAACTTTGTAGGATTTGAAAAAAATCAATCTATTTCCAAATTGTTTATCCTTATCAGCTACTGGTTAATTAGTATACTATTTCAAGGTTTTATTGATGATCTAAAAGGATCCCAAGCACAAATGTTCTTTCTTCTTTTCTTGATAATTACTCTTTCCGTTTTTTTAAGATGGATTTTCTAGACATTAGTTGTTGTTTCACAAAGATAAATTTTATACTTTTTTGATACACTTTTTCAGTTTTCAAGAAACAATGATTGTATTTGTTAGATTTTTATTGGTTGAAAATTATAAAAAGTTATTTTATTGCAGAAATCAATACTCTAATGATTAAAAATCTGCTTTTCTTTTTCTTTAATATGTGTGAAAATCCTAGAAAATTTATTAAAAAAAAACGGAGGGAGTAATTGATATTAGCAAGCAAATTTACATTTTGTTTCTCTTAACAGTTATTACCACCTAAAAATCATTTCTTTTTCAAAAACGAAAAATTGTCATATACTCCGCCTATGCCATTTCTTTTTCAACATTCCGGAAATTAGACTAAGATGTCAAGAAGGATACAACAAGACGATGAAACTAATATGAAGAAAGTGACCAAGAGATAAAGTTTAAAAAAAGAAAAAAAGTTTGAAAGCAAAAGCTTACAAGAGCATAAAAAGAGAGTCTATCTATACACCGTTATAGTTCAACACCCAATTCCCTTTGTTTCAACTCCAACCCCATCCGATCATTCTCAAGTTTCATCCTTTCATTCTCCATCCTCATCCTCTCCAGTTCTTGATCCCTTTTCTTGCTAAACCTCTGCCACCTGAACCTCTGCTTCTCCAACTCCAGCAACTCAACTTTGATCTGCAGCTTCTGCTCTTCCAACTGAAGACTCCGAGACTCATACCACTCCTTCTGCATCGAAGCCGCTCTCCCACTCTCTGCCCCACCCTGGTTCACATCAGGCATCTGAGCTAAAGACACTCTATTGCTCTCCAGAGAGTTCACAAGACTCGGATGGTCACCATCTTCATGGCTCTGTCTTGTCCTCTTCAACGGACCACCACGAACTCCTCCACAATGCTCCTCATACTCATCACCTTCCCCATCATGATCATCCTCCTCATCAAGATCCTGTCTCCTCAACTCCTCGTTGTCATGATCCTCCCTGTTCCTCAGCGCCAACTGCAGAGACCGCTGCAGCGCAAGGTCATGAGGCAAATGCAGCCTGTTCCCGTTGTGGTACGAACACATCTCCTCGTAGAAGAGATGCTTGGAGCTCATGATTTTCCTCACATCGTCCTTCTCTTTGTCGTTCAAGTAACCAATCGAATCCAGAAGCGCAGGGTTCTCCACAACCTGACAACAAGTTCCTCTCCCAAGCATGTCGTTAAGCTTCTTATACCGTTTGTTCAAGTCGTTGAACTTGTCCTCGCACTGCTGCGGCGATACGTGGTGACCCCTCTCCGCCATTGCTTTGGAAACCGATTTCCACTTGCCCTTCTTCTGCAAAACCGCAAACTTTCTCCGGCTGCCGCCGCCACCATCCACACTCGAATCGTCGCCTATGTAAGACACGGCGGTTATCAGCAGCTTCACCATTTTGTCACTCCACTTCACTCGTTGCCATGGTGATGACGATGATCCTTTACCCGACTTGTTGTGACCATCACCACCACCGCCACATTCCTCGCTTGGCTCCTCATCGTCTTCACTCTCTCTTTCGCCTTGGTTTTGGTGGTCACAGGTTTGGCCTGTGACCATGGTAAAAGGAAGGCCTTCGTGAAGAATTGGTCGAGAATTGGGATTGTTGAGTCGATTCATGGATTCTTGTTGATGAACTCTCAAATCGAATCCTCCTCCGTACGAAGATGCTCCACCACGAACCACACCTCCTTGCGGGAAATTCCCATCCATTTTTTTTTTGTTTTTCCCCCAAAAAAAATCAATTCCTAATGCGAGAAAATTCAATCGGAGATAAAATCGATCTACTAACCCAGAGAAGCGATTTGGAGAAAGCAATAAACTTGGTCACCAAAATGCGAAATCTCAAAAAAAAAAAAATTAGTACTGGATCTCGTGGAAATTGAAGATCGGAACTTTAGTGGAGAAAACAAGTAGAGAGGAGCAATCAAGATGAAGAAAATTGAGCGGTAAATGTGGAGAAAGAGCAACTCACAAACAAAGTTTTGAACTTGCTTCGTCTTCTCCGGTCAGCTTCTTAACGTTTTCTCTCTCTTGACATATCTGTGTTTGTGTATAGGTGGATTGCCAAAAGCTCTTCTTTTTCTTTCCAAGTCCAGCTTTCTCGCAAATTTATTATTTTAGCCCCACTAATATTACTATATTATAAATTTTACTTTGGCGAAATGACAAAATGATACTACTTGTGATTGGACTTTTTAGTACATACAAGTTAAATTATATTGTATAGTTAAATTCCACAGGTCATGGCTGCAAATTATTTGCGTGGATGATCTTAGTTTTGGTATATAATCAAAAGTTTTATTATCTACATATTCCTTAACTTAGTTTGATATAAAGATTGTTTTGTCTGTTTGGTAAATGGTAAATTTAGTTATACATGATTTTATTTTATTTCATTGAACGGCTGAAATTGATCATTAGCCGAGTCTGAGTGAGATTTGACCATATTCAACGAAGTTACATTTTATTTATATAATGGGCCGTGATTGAAAGGGTAGAGCCCAAAATAATAATTTGTTATGCGAGCCCGAAACATCATTATAAGATCTTTTGCTGCGAACTGTAGAAACCAAACAGTGTGGTGATTGGCTGATTGCGTGAGCTGAGCTAAGAGCGATACCGGCGGCGAGTATTCTTCTTCGCATTTCCAAAACCCTTCTCCGAGAAGTATTGTTTTTTCATCAGAATGTCCATCGAGGAAGACGCAACGGTGAGAGAGCCATTGGATCTGATTCGGTTGAGTATCGAAGAGAGAATCTATGTTAAGCTCCGATCGGACCGTGAACTCCGCGGCAAGCTTCACGTTCGTTCTTCTACGACTTTCTTCTTTGCTGTCTCATTCGAATTCCATGCTTTTCGCTGTTTCGTGCCGAAGTTTAGTCCCGTTTCAATTTCGAAAGCCTCTGTAGCTATTGGCGTAGAAACTTGATTTTTTCCGAAGAAATTATTAGCGAATCTTGTTAATTTACAAGATCCCAAGTAGCTCATCCTTGTCTTGTTTGGTTTTTGTGTCTTTGCAGGCTTTTGATCAGCATTTGAATATGATTCTGGGTGATGTGGAAGAGGTTATAACGACTGTAGAAATCGACGACGAGACATACGAAGAGATTGTTCGGGTATGTTGTTTATTTACTTTCGAACTTTTGTGATATTGGATTATCTAACGTTTAGTAAAATCCTATGTCGTAGTTTGAGTTAAAAGTGTAGATATCTAATAGTGCTGGTTCCATAGATAGTGTTCATTAGCTAAATGTAGTAAGTAAACTCTGTTTTAAATGATAGCTCTCAAACTTGAATTTTGTTTGCCGCTCCGCTCCAGATGGGATGTGTTAGTTCATGATTAGACTTATATGTTCTTCGATTCAAAAACGGAGATTATAACTGAATGGAACTTACTCATTGTCACTGTCAGACAACGAAGCGAACGGTGCCGTTTCTGTTTGTGAGAGGAGATGGAGTGATATTGGTGTGTCCGCCGTTGAGGACGACCTGAGTTTTTTTATTAAAAAAAGCTTTCGTGATTTGGGCTCTGAGTTAACAAATCTGGAGAGAGCTAAGTGAAACACCTTTTTTTCCTGATTGCTTAGCTTTTGATTTGTATTTGTGTGTGTTTTGTTGCTTTGTCAACCATTTAAACCGAATGCAGCGAGAGATGTTCGTTTTAGACTTTTAGTACAAGTGATGTAAGCTTACTTCATCTTGTCGACTTTCTTACTGTTTATGAACAACGAGTCCGAGTAACTTTTGTGGATCTTCCAATTGACAATTATTTTTCAGTGCCTCAAGTACATATTATATGGTGTCGACCGATTTAAAACAAACAAATTTTGGAAGTTCTTTTCAAATGGATGTGATTTTGAACATGTAAATTTACAGCAACGAGAGTATTGAGCAACAATACGTAATCAAATAGAGCGAAGAGAGTATTGAGATCAAATGTTTGTAAATTGAGTAAAGATCCCGCTGGAAAGATAAAACTTTTGATAAATCACCAACACGGTTCGAGAGTCGTTGTAACAATGGAGGAATTCCGAGAGATTCTTCTTATCTTCGTCTGGGTCTGGCTTGAACCGGAGAACCCATTGGTTGCGACTCTCTATAGATTCTGCTCGGAGAATCCATCGATGCTCTGGAAGACGAGTACGAAGCTCTGGCCACTGGTGGCACTGAATCTGACAGGATGGTCTCACCGAAACATGCACTGTTCAAACGGGTCTTCTCCAACTCCAACTGAAGCATTTCGCTTGTACATTGCTGCGCAAGAGCCTTAAAAGCAGCAACAGTAACAAGAAAACAAAACCGCTATTAGCTAAATCAGTAAGCGGTTTATAGCCTTGAAGATGGTGAATAGTCTTACAAGGAGATCATCTGGGGACACGGAAGATTGCTTGTCATCTGAAACTGCGTCTTCGCTGCCACGTGCTGGTTTCCGGTGATTCCCTCCTGGGTTGTTCTCAGCTGTCTCGCTGATGCTCTCTATGGCTTTCTCTAACACGGCTCCTTGCAGAGACTTTAGAGACTCGGTTGCATCGACAGTGAAATATGGGTTTAGTATAGTCTCGAAATACTCTAGCTGCATCATCAGTTTGTGAAATCAGATAAGCAAGCATCCTAAACTAGTTTAACTCTAAACCCACTCGCTAAAATAAAAGTTGAGAAGAACCAATAAGTTTACCTCAAGCATCAATTGGCAGAAACCATTTGCATCTATTGAGCTCAGGTCGTCAGATCTGTTTTCTTCTAGAAGACTGAGAAAAGTATCGATCAGTCCTTCCACCAACGTGCCAAGAATTTTTCCCAGGAGTGGTTTGGCACCTGCAAATACCTGCAGTCATAGTTCTTGCTATAAAATTGTTATCGTTTGATAGGAACAGTGAAGTGTGAAGCAATGCTATTACCTCTGCATGGACAGCAACAAGAGTGTGTAACAGCTCAACAGCAGCGTCTCGTATGCCCTGAAGGAAAAGGTTTAGTTATCGTTTCTTCGGAGAAGAGGCTAAAATGTTTATTTTCATTGATTCTTATGAGGAACAAGAAAGTCAAATCTGCTTCTGCTTACTTTTACTGGAGGCGCTGCACCCCATTGGATACCAGAGTCCAGCAAATAATTCGTTGCAGCTGTTCTGATCAAGTTTGCCTGAGTACAAGAAATGTATATATGCAAACTTTAAATGGAAAGGTTTAAAAACAGAACATTCCTTTTTCCATTGTTCAATAGAGGTGCATCAGTTCTCTCGAACACAGAGCGACATCATTAGTAAACTAACCTAGCAGATTAAAACGTTACCTTAGCAAAAGTGTAGTGTTCGAGGACCTTCTCTCCAAGACCAGAGAAAGACATCGTTAGATCTTGAAGATCACTGCTGTCTTCATCATTTCCCCTGCAAAATTTATGAGACGAAAGGAATTAGCCACTCAACTATAACACCATATACAACGTCTCACCTGAACATTCAAGATTTTGATTAGAAGATTAAGTCATTGGTACAAACTATCATGGTTGTGAATTTGAGACAACAAAGCATGACTTGATTTTTCCAGCTTCTCTACCGTTTAAAAAAAGCACCAATGAAGTCAAATAAGAAAGGGACCCACCTGGACTGTAACCAGGTATATTTGTACTTGTTGTAAAGCTCAGAGGCAAGTTCGTCTTTGCAATAACCTATATTACTTAAGATCATCAACAACTGCCTGTGAGGATCAACAACACTTTCAGGAGCATTGATTGATGTTTCTTTCTGGTGGTCGTTGGAATATCCATTTTGCCAACTCTCTCGCGTTGATGTGCCTTGAGAAAGGTCAGCACCAATTTGCTCCAAGTGCGCTGATATATGCAAAAAGCAATTAGCATGATCATCGTCGACTCTGTGCATCTGACTCTATCCGCATAAAAAGGCTTACCAGCAAAATCCAGAAAGCAGTTCAAAAAGGCAAGTCTAACAGATATCAGGATTTCCTCAATGTGGGCAAACATATCTTCTGATCTAGAAGCTTCACCTGTTAAAGACAGAATCATACTGGAAAAAAAGCATATCTAGAAGTCAGTGATACACAATTGCACATGCAGTTCTCTGAATATCTTTGAACCGCATTTATGGTTAACTTTCTATCCTAATTCATAATCTGACACAACAAGTTCTGAAATCTCACATGAGATACATATTCTTCACATGAAACTAGTCATATGAATATAAATGATGATTATGGTACGGACAATTAGAATCATAAAAAGAGCTATTTGGCAACTGCCGTCTTGTTCTCTAACTATAGACAAAAGTAGAACATCAAAATCCTAGAGTATTGTCTAGGTGAAATCGTAGATATCTTGAACTCTTACAAGAGAAAAAAAGATGTAACTATTAAAGCACACAAGGTTAAGAATTTGTATATACATGTAACAGCAAGATGCTAGAAACTTACAGATTAATTTGTTCCATCCCAGAGACGATAATTGAACGGAAGGCAAGGGGCAGGTAAGAGATGCAATATGGAGATCTATTCCTTTCAAGAATAGAAACTGGGATCCACGTCTCCTCCTTTGATATTCCTTCTGTAGACGCCCTCATCCAAGAGCAAAGCCTTTGGATGTATATTTTAGTGATTTCCACCTTAACTTTTCTTAGTGCCATGACTGCCAAAACCAAAATGTGTATACAGAATCTCAGTGTATACCTTAGGGAAAAAACAAGCTCAAGCTTCAGAAGAAATTCAAATACCAGCACTATGGGGAGCTGACTCTTTCGACTCAAAAGTTTGGCATGCTTTTGATACTTCTTTGATGGTATCACTCATATATGGGTGGAGAATGTATGATTCGTCAAAATCATGAAATGTGCTTTGCACCTACATAAGCAATACGCAGAGGAAAAAAAAAAAGTATCAGAACCAATGCATGGAACAGACGACATGGTTCATCTTTCCAGTATCGCAAAGAAAAACTCTATTGACAGAAAAGAGAGTCAAGGAGATGACCTTTGCTTCATAAACAGAAATGGTATTGCGTATCATCCCTGCAACTTCTTCCAAAGAATGACTTGAATACCTTGCCTCTTCAACTTTCTCCTCAGCTTTGCTGGCTGAAGTATCATTTACTTGGGAAGACTGAAAAGGTAGAATTCAATAAAAGTACAGATTAACCTCCATTTGAATAAAGAAATCAATATGAAGTTATGAACTACCCTCAGCATACGAAATAGTTAATCTACTGCAAGATCAGAGCACATAGGATAGGAGTATCATGTACCTTGGCAAATTTCCCACTGAAAACAGAAAGCGCTGTTTTCCAAAACGCAGGGAGATGATATACGACTACAGCAGTCAATCTTTTGATGTATCGTACCCTCAAAGCATCATTTTCTTTGCCTGCTGACTCTACTGATGGTAGGTCAACTTGACCTCGATTATCTTCCATAAAAGACGTGTCATCTGACTGAAGGATTAAAGAAAGTACGAATTGTTATCATCTTTAAACCTGAATCTTGCTAACTGCAATAATATAGCTGCACTCACAGTTGAACTCACAAGTTGAACACCATTTTGTTGAATTTGTCGCCATTTCGCGTCAGAGAGAGCTCTCTCATGCACCTGGTTGCGCAAAATTTCCATCCTTGCTTCATGATCAAATGTACACTTCTCAAGCAGCTCATGGATCCTGTGATTCTGATAAAAGAAAGAACAAAGCCATAAAACCTTATATATTCCACAAAAACAAATCAGGAAACTATACATAGTGTGTGTTTCTAAAAATGTATAGTGCAGAGGCCACCTTCGGATATTAAAATCAAAACAATCAGAAATCCAGACACTGCACTAACTTACGAAAGTCACAGAGAAAAGGGCAACAACGTCTAACACACTGACCTGAACATTTAAGTAATGCCAAACAGGATCCGATTCGGGCTCCAGCTCCAGCAAAAGCCTCACAGTGTTTTCCAGCTAAATTAAGCAAACAATTTTAGCATCAACCAGAGGAAGAGAATGGAGAGACAACATACATGAATCTCTATTACAAACATTAACTGGAGACTCAAAGTCTTATAAAAGGGAAGCATGGGAACTTCAATAATTCTATACTTGGGAACTGGGAACTGATATGATAACAAAAGAACCAGGCCATCCTTAAGTTTTTAAAATGATAGACTGTTCACTCCGTTAGGATGGAAGTGGTAGTAGTTAACTTACAGTCGTAAAATCTATTTTCGGATCTTCCATTGTTCTGTAGAGGGTGCCTTTAAACTCATGCATCACTTTCTCAACCTCCTCGAGTACGCGCTTGAGTATATTTACCTGTAAGCAACGTGTTTCTATGATTTCAAGAACTTTGTGATACAAGTGAGGAATATTCTAACAACTGAATGCTGGGGAAAATATGAGTGGTAACTGTCTGAAGAGTGTGAACAATGGGGCAAGCATACATGAGAAGGGAGAGCAATAGACTTCGCCTTCTTGTATTCCCGAACAGCCAAATCATACTCGCCTTTGCTAATACTGCTACGAATTATACTGGGTAAATTGAAGAGTGTACGGAATCTCTGAAGCATTCCTTGTACTGACCTGATCTTCTCAGCTTGGGCCTAAGAAGAATTGTGAAAAAAAGGCTTAAGCAGATAGCGAAAGGCTGGACCAATACCAGAAGCCAATAGTCTGTGACTGTACCAACCTGTCTCTCAAAAAGTGGCTCAAAAGCACGATTAGCCCGTGATGTCACACTCTTCATACAATTGAACAAATGAGTAGTTCCCGATCCTTCTGGGTCATCTTCAATCCGTTTCAGTTTTGACTCAATATCTGTACAGAAAGGCAGTACTCTTCACATCAACAAGAGAGAAGAATAAAGTAAAAATAAGCCACCAATGGCCAAATTGACTGTAACAATACATACCATCAATTGTTGTTTTACACGAGACGAAGCAGTCAAAATTATCTTTCACCAATTGCTTCCTCTGTAAATTACGGCCCTTTAAGTCGCTTTTCAGGGCAAGGGCACCGGATTCCAAGTCCGCTGCACTTGTCTCGTGGTGAATGCGAGAAAGAAACAGCTTGGGATCGAAATGGTCAGAGATGTACACCAACTTTTCTGCAAATTCTCAGACGAGTATAATTCAAATTTAGAAAACCAGAAGCTGTACATCTAGGCCCGCAGAAATTATCTTATGTAAGAGCTAATAATCAACTCAAGTATGGTCATGAAAGAAATACATACCCCGAAGTGCGTTATCCACTCTCTCAGATTTTGAAAGACTTTCTGATGACTCAGTGATTAGTCTCAGTGTCTTGTTATCTATTATCCTACGAGGTACACAAAAAGCCATGTTCAGATACGCCCTACCAAATCGTGTGTTCTCAGGGCAGCACAAACGAGAGGAAGTTACCCTAGTTTTAGTGGATCAATGCATTCCATGCCACGAGGGAATGATTGCAAACTGGCAAGAGCCGCTTTCTTGCCAGCTCCAGATACCTTCCGTTCAAGCTTATCAGTCACGGACGGTGCTGTTCTTGACTCCCGCATATCACGAACTCTGCGGGCAAGCTGCCAAATGTCATCAGCTTTTTAAGTGAAATGTTCATATTTCCAACTAAATGCATCTCAGTTCTGCATATAAGATCATTTAAGGATCACCAATGAACGGAATATTCAGAGTCATACAACTGATATCACATATACAAATTTTTTTTAGATACCAAATCCCAAACTCTATCAAAAGCAACGATTACTTCAAATCAAAACGATGCAGCAACAACACAACTACAGCCAAAAGAAAATTCAAGCTCTTATCTCGAAACTTTTACGCATTTCTTTACCAAGAGAAAATTGAAGCCAGATATGTTCAAATGTGATAGATACCATACCTCAGCTTCGTTTACCCGTTTCCAGCAATCGGGCTCCCCTCCATCCCAAGCTCCATCATCTTCCTTCCGCGCTCTTCCTATCTCCTTGCCACTGCCGCCACTTGCTCTCCCTCCTCCACCGTCACCACCACCTCTTCCCCGATCGTTCCCTTCATCCTCATCCCCGCTGGAAATGCTGAGCAATTCCACCTCCGATTCATCGTCCTCATCCATCGATGGCTTCCTTGCCGCCGCCGCCGCACCTCCCGTCGACTTCTTCGGCGGAGGTGCTGCCGGCTTCTTCTGTTGCCGCGGCTGCTGCACTAAATTGGCGACGGGCTTGCGGGAATTGGCGGAAGGAGGCTTCTGATAGGTAAGATCTCTCTGAGATTGCTCTTTCAACGCCATTTGAAGGAGCTCATCTTCGTCTAGATCTTCACTGTCGCTCGACATTTTCTTCGCTGAATCAGATGATCGTCTCTCTCTCTTCCTCTCTTGAGCTATTGCAGAGATCTGTGCAGTGTTTGACTAATTTGAATTTTGTGAAATGTTTACAGAGATTTCTACTGACTTTTTCATTTTCCCGTGTGTGTCGTCGAATGTTTCTTCTCTCTTTACTTTCCTCTTTTTTTTTTTTTTTTTATTTACTAGTTCCATTTATTAATGGATTAATTTGCCAACTAGCCATATTGGGCCTAGAAATTGGATCGCGTATTGCACGCGCCAGCAAAAGACACTTTTGCCACTCTTCTTTAGTCGGCAGTTTTTGTGGGAAGCCGATGACAAGTGTACTGCAAGCCGAGTTAATCAAGTCCAATCAATATCATAACCTATCCAATTAAAATTAATTTCAAAATTAAAGTTCCCTCCTATTTCTTCATGTGTATATAATTTGGCCACGTTTCTCACTTGAAAAAGGACCCTTTGGTTTCCACGACTATCATCTATTCCTTTATAAGTACCATACTATTTCTTTTTCACCTGTACTGTACTTTTTGCTTCATCTTTAACATGTCTGATAAAGAGAATAGTTGGGCACTTAATAAAGGCAGTCCAAGTACACAGGTAATTACACAATCCTTCTCACTTATATCCGTTTCAGTTTCGTAGATAGGGACCATTTATAGCCAACTGAAACTATAAATATGTTTGTCTCGATTAGTAGAAATAGTATATTAGCTTCAAATATTGACAAACTCTCGGTTCATTCAATTCTAAAGAAATCTTACATATTTTTTTTCAGAAATCTCCTCAAGATGAAGTTAATCTCCTCTTAGGAACATGGATAAGAGAAGAGACAGGAAACTGGGTTTTTGAAACAGATTCAGTAGAAGGTTTTGCCACAGTCGTTCTCAAAGATGGTCTCAACTTTCGAGATCTTATCGATGACGTGCGCAACAAACTACAAATCAAAAACACCAACATCACTCTCAAACTCGCTTACCAGTATCCTCCGTGGATGACTATAGATGACGCGCATGACTAATACTTCTTATTTCTTTCTTCATAAACTCTTCAATCTCGCTTTTAAGTTTCTTAAAAACTTTATCTACATGAACCTCAAAACTAGCAGAAACACCTCTTAACATTTCCGCTGTCCGATCTTCATATGCATCAGCTAAATTTTTTAACTGAGCAGAAACATCAACACATTCTACTCGATCTCCATTATCCTTTAATTTTCCGAAATGTTTACCAAGACGATCATCAGCTACGGCAGTACACATAGTACTAGGATTAACAACCTTTGATAAACATGGTGCATGAGCAGTATATATCTCCGTAGACACTTCTACCTCTGCATAACCATCATTACTATCTATAACCTTCGTTTCAACAGCCTCACATGCTTTCACACCTACACGCCATGAATTATGTTCAAATGGGAAATCCTCGTTAATCAAAGCAAGCATATGCAGTACTTGAGGATCATCTTGTTCATCATCAAATACACTCTTCGAAATACTGCCACTTATTGAATCACTAAGTGTCGATCTCACAGAAAGCCTAAAAATGAAGGACAAAATCAACTGTTAGTCCTCAAACAATAATATTCTAAACCCTAAAACATAAACCCAAAACCCCAACAAAATATACCCTAAACCCACCAATCTAAACCCCAAACAGCCTAACCTCAACCCCAATCAACTAAACAGTTGACCCCAAAACTAAACCTTATACCCTCCACAAAATCAACGATTAGTCCTCAAGAAATGCTATAAACCCAAAACCACACAAAAATATACCCAAAACCAACCATTCTAAACCCTAAACCGCCTAACTTCAACCCCAATCAACTAAACATTTGTCCCCAAAACTAAACCTTATACCCTTCCCCGAAATGAACTGTTAGTCCTCAAGAAATGCTACAAACATAAATCATTTTTAAATATGACTAAATTAAAAGTTTCATGAAATACAAACCTGGCCTCTCTGATCCACTGCTTTAGCTGATACAACATTGACCATCAACCTACTATCAACAACAAATTTAACAACATGTTCAATGCTTTCTTCATCCGCTGATGAAGAATCTTCTGCAGCTTCATATTTAACAATTTCTGGACAAGAACAAGCAGCAACGAGTACAATAGCATGCACAAATCCTTGAATAGCGGTTGTGCTCTGAGCATATTGGGATGCTGTACGTGCCTTTGCACTCTCAACAGACATAATAAAAGACTCACGCCTCCAGGAAATTTCAAGAATTTTTCAACATCAGAAACCATCTCAACAACTTCAGCTCTTATACTAGATGTTCCGCTTCTAGGACACAAAATACCTTCCACTAAAAGCAACAAAGCCAGTCTAAACCGAGTTATTGGATCTTTGTATTTCTTACCTAATAACAACCTGTCTAGAATCCAAGAAACAGTGGGATCAACAGATTCTCCGAACAATTCAACCCACATAGGACCTCTTTCTTTCCCCACATTAACTTTCTTTTTCCTTCCTTTAATCGCTTTGCTTTTCTTCGCTATCTTACAAATGGTAACATCTGGTTCCTCACAATTCAAACCAGTCACAATAGCAAACTCATCTATACCATAACGCACCGGTTTACCAGAAAACAACCACCACAGCTCATACTTTTTTTTGGTCACCAACTGTCTTGAAAGGAGATAATGGACAAACATTACAGAAAAAGTATGGTCTCCCATTTTCATCAAACTCTTGAACTGTGATTACTCAACATGTCGATGTAATCTGGATCAATTGCTGGTTTAATAAGCTCAACCCATCTAAGAGTAAAATAACTGTGAACCCTTTTTCTACCAGTAGGTTCAAATCCAGACTCGAACAATCTTTCTGGCAATCCCATCTCCTCCATTCTACAATTTGACATAAATATAAATAAAATTAACATAGGTGTTAATTTGCAGAACTACATATGCAATTAACTATGACGTATAATCGCATGACTAATTACAGAACTAAACCAGAAACAACCATCAATTGAAAGATTATCCAATAACAACAGAGAAAAACAATAAATTGCAGTTTCTTCAATTAAAGAGAAACTAACCTTGTATGTATATTCTCTATCAGTTCACGATGCAGATTTGTGAATCAGATGAGCTCGAGAAAATAACTGTGAACTCGATTTATATATACTCTCTCTATTTATTCATCAGAACAGTCTAACTCTGTTAAACAGATGAGTTCCATAAACCGTGGTCCTGAAAATGACGATAGCCAGACCTCTGTTTCTCTTATCTTTTTCTTATTTTTCTTTTAAAATTAGAAAACTTATCAAACGGCTTAGATCGAAGCCGTGTAGTACACAAGCTGAAAAACTCGGCTATAGTAATATAGGGGCAATTCAGACAATATTGTATATTGTATCTAAGAAATAGTATCCCATCAATAGATATGGTCAGATTCTTAATTTTTTTTTTTTACTGATATCTATTGATAAAACCCTTTATTAATTCAAAAATAAATGCAAATATCAAACAAAACGCTGCCGTTTGGCTCATTAACACAAAATCCTCCACTCGGTTACCTTCATCGCCATATATATATGCGTTCGAAACCAAAAAGCGTTCGAAACCCTAAGATTCCAAACTTCTCTGCCGCGAAGGATTTTACCTGTTTGCTCAATCTCCCAGAAATCCTAATCTTCGTCGGTGACTCCTTTGCGATTCCGTGAATCTCCCCGGTTTGTTTTTGCCTAATATGAATAGAAGCAGATCAAGGAAAAAGGTAATTTTCTCATCATCTATCGCTCTGATTAATTGGAATAAACTTTTTGATTTTTTATTTTTGGCTGTTTGATTCTGGTGTTATTGTTAGCTGTTGAATTCTGATTCCTTGTTGTTTACTGGGGTTAATCGCAGACCATACTCATCTTTAATTTTCATCATCAATGGATCGGAACGAGCCGAGTGCGCGGGGTGGAGACGACGAAGATCATCCCTTTGTCTCGTCTGTGGGAGGTGAAGAATCTAATAATGAATCATCTCTGATTGGTGAAGATGCCTCCATTAATCTGGAGCTATGTGAGATTCCTAAATCTGAGGAAGAGAACGTTGTGCTTGAGGAGAATGACGAATCTTCTGAGGAAATATCGGAGGAGGTTGATTCTTCTGCTAGTGTCGCTCTGCTTGGTGATAGTAGTGTTGAATTAGGTGATGAGTCGATGCTTGGAAGAGAAGCTTCTTTTGAGGTTGGAGAAAGCTCAACGAGTAAGAAGAAGAAGAAGAAGAAGAAGAAGAAGAAGAAGAAGAAGAATAAGAGTGGAAGGAATGAACATGAAGAAGATGAAAAAGTTCCTAAACATGTTCTAAAGATCCGAGAGAGACTTGCGAGGCGGGAAGCTGCGGAAGAGAAGAAGAGGAAGGAAGAAGAAGAGAAACTGAGGAAGGAAGAAGAGGAGCGCCGCGCAGAGGAAGAGCGAGAGAAGGAAGCTGAAGAGGCTAAACAGAGGAAAAAGCAAAGAAGCAAGGAGAAACTGCTGAAGAAGAAGCAAGAGGGCGGGTGTCTAACAGAAAAGCAGAAGAGAGATAAGTCTTTCAAGAACAAGGTTTTATCAAATGTATCTGGAAGTCTTCTTCTGGCAGATCATAAAAACGGCGAATCCTCAAAGCGTCCCGTTTATGCCAACAAGAGAAAACCAGCTCATCGCGCAAAAGCAAACGACTCTGCTTCTGTCCAGGTGAAAGATGATGGAGAAACAAAGAAGAATCATGCACATGAACCAACTACTTTTGTGCAACAAGCAGCTGCTGATGTAACACAGAAGAATGATGATGATTGGGAAGCAAAAAGTGGGGACTCTGTTGATTCCAACATGATGTGTGATTATGATGATGAGAAAGAAGAACCTCAGCCTGTAGTTGAGGAAGAGTTTAAAGACACTGCATCAAAGGCTGAAGTTGCAGGCAATCCAACAACTTCTGCCAAAAATGCCATGCCAAAAGATGGTTCTGGCTCAGTAGTGAATGAAGAAAGGGAAGAAAATCTTCGCTCTCCTATTTGCTGCATCATGGGTCATGTTGATACTGGTAAGACGAAGCTGTTGGACTGCATCAGAGGAACACATGTTCAGGAAGGCGAAGCTGGAGGTATTACGCAACAGATTGGTGCAACGTATTTCCCTGCGGAAAACATCCTCGAGAGGACCAAGGAGTTGAAAGCTGATGCAAAACTTAAGGTGCCAGGTCTGTTGGTTATTGACACGCCTGGGCACGAGTCGTTCACGAATCTTCGGTCAAGGGGTTCGAACCTGTGTGACATTGCGATTCTAGTGGTTGACATAATGCATGGTCTAGAGCCACAAACCATCGAGTCTCTGAATCTTTTGAGGAGGAGGAACACAGAGTTCATTGTTGCCTTGAATAAGGTGAGGTTTCTCGTCATTGTTCTGGGATGTGGTTGTTTTTTTTTAATACTGTTACTGATGTGTGGAAATTTAAAAACTTCTCAACTTTCAGGTTGATAGGCTATTTGGGTGGAAAAAATGCAAGAATGCTCCTATCAGGAAAGCAATGAAGCAGCAATCGGTAGATGTGGTTAATGAATTTAACAGGAGGGTCACTGAGGTAAAGTCATACGTCTATATATTTTGATCTAACGATTTAGGGTTGGATATGATGTGTACATGTTATTAAACTATACGGTTTCGTTGGTTTTTCATTTCCAGGTTATAACCCAGTTCAAAGAACAAGGACTCAACACTGAGCTTTATTACAAGAACAGAGAAATGGGAGAAACTTTCAGTATTGTTCCTACTAGCGCTATTAGGTCTGTTTTTGTTTACAATTTCTAGTCCAGCTTAGAGGCCATTAGGTCAACGTCCGTGCTAACTAATTATTGGATTAATTTTGGATATTGATATTTGCAGTGGGGAAGGGATTCCAGATCTGTTGCTGTTGTTGGTTAAGTGGGCTGAGAAATCGATGGTAGAGAAACTCACATATGTTGACAAAGTTCAGGTCTGTCTCATTACTCTCTAGGAAATGCTTCATTTATGTATGCAATAACATCATATCTTATCTTTTCTTGAAATGGTTGAAACAGTGTACCGTCCTTGAGGTCAAAGTTATCGAAGGCCATGGTACAACGATCGATGTTGTTTTGGTCAACGGTGTACTCCACGAAGGGGATCAAATCGTTGTTTGTGGGACACAGGTAAGTAGAAACTTCAATGGAAATATACCTAAACACATATCATGTGCCAAGTATTTCATAAATCTGTAAACTTGATGGATTTTGTGTTTGTTTCATTTTCTACTATTTCAGGAGCCAATCGTAACAAGTATTAGATCTTTATTGACTCCTCAACCATTGAAAGAAATACGGGTGAAGGTACTTTCAGATAGTCCACTTCTTATCTCTTTGTTACTGTTATTCCTAGGGAGACATGGTCTGTGTTAATGACATTTCCTTTTCCATAATCGTTGAGAATTTCAGGGTACATATATGCATCATAAAGAAGTAAAAGCTGCACAATGTATCAAGATCACTGCACAGGTAATTTTTCTCATACATAACACCATTGTTTAATATGATTTGGAATTTGGAGCACATCCTGAACAAATGCTTCCGTGTATATAAAAAAGGGTCTTGAACACGCCGTTGCTGGTACTGCCTTGCATGTGATTGGACCTGGTGAGGATGTGGAAGAAGCCAAGAAAACAGCAATGGAAGATATGAAGTCAGTCATGAGCCGGATTGACAAAAGTGGTGAAGGAGTATATGTACAAGCTTCTACATTAGGGTCTTTGGAAGCATTGCTCGAGTTCTTGAAGTCCCCGGATGTACAAATACCTGTCCGTGGTATTGGGATAGGACCTGTGCACAAGAAAGATATCATGAAGGCCGGCGCAATGCTAGAGAAGAGAAAAGAGTACGCTACGGTTTTGGCTTTTGACGTGAAAGTGACCACGGAGGCTCGGGAACTTGCGGACAAAATGGGAGTGAAAATCTTCTGCGCTGATATCATCTACCATCTGTTCGATCAGTTTAAGGTTTACATCAAGGGTATCAAAGAGGAGAAGAAGAAAGAAACAGCGAGCGAAGTAGTTTTCCCATGTGTGCTTAAGATTTTACCGGACGGCGTTATTAAATCTAAAGACCCAATCATTTTGGGAGTGAATGTCATCGATGGTATACTCAAGGTATGTGCTATATTTCTCATGTACAGACACATGCCCTTTGGATCTATCTAACAATGGTCTTGTTGGTTTTTAGGTTGGAACTCCTATCTGCATTCTCAAGAAGATTGAGAATTCAACAGAGTTTATGGATATCGGTCGCATTGGATCTATTCAGATCAACAATCAGCCACTTGACTATGCAAAGAAAGGCCAGGAGGTGGCGATTAAGGTAAATGAGAATCCCTTTTCTTCTCTTCATCACTTAACCTTTTAATCTTCACCGTTTTGAAGCTGTAACAATGGTTTGTTTTCCTGTTAGATTGATTCTAACCATGGAGAACAGAAAACGTTTGGGAGGCACTTTGGCTCAGATGACAAGCTTATCAGTCATATTTCTAGGCGATCCATAGACGTACTCAAAACAAGTTACCGGGTAAGTTTGACAAGTCTTTCTTGTTCTCTCACCTATTTCGAAAAGGTGATTTGTGTCTGTGTTTTTTAAGCTCTAACTGAAACCTGAAACCTTATTTATGCAGGATGAAATATCTGAAGACGAGTGGAAGCTTGTTTCGAAACTTGAGAAGTTGTTCAAGATTCTTTAGAGATTCTCTTTTGATGCTTGGAGCAACAGAGACTTCACAGACGAGCGTTTCCTTTGCTCTTTTTTTATCGGTTTTGGTTTTATTATTTTTTCGGTTTTGAGATTAGACTCTTTTTTTTTTTTAACTCCCCTATCTTAGACCTCTGTTAACAGCAAAACTCCTATTCTACTACATTTCTTTGGGCTAGACTTCCTAATATCTTGTACAACATTTACAGGATTATTGATTATTGATGTCCACATGATTTACCAGACTATATGCAGATTATGTAGGATAATTTACATGGCTATATAAACTATTTTTACTTCTAAGCATGAAAATCTCTGAGTTTATGGATAAGTTTGTTCTAAAGAACATCAGAATGAGTTTGTTTTATTGAAGAGAAGTGAGAACACAAAGGCATTGCTTTTGGTTGTGTCTGATTCTTGTCGGTAACACATATTTTATTGTCTCCGGTCATGTTTTGACGAATCTTGTGACATTTGAATTTGACATTACCTTTAGGTGATGTTATTTTTTGCGCAGCTAAGTAAAAATTGAAAAGATTTTTCCTTTTTTACATCATAAAAGATTTACATTGTGTTCTCCTGTAATTTGCTTGTCTTATGGTAATTATATGGAAATATCTATGAGTCTATTGTGTATTCATACAGAAAGCCACATGTTCCATTTTCCTTTAAACGAGGATGTGGGAGTTAACACGCAATCTAGTGCCAAAAAGCAGGCATGAAATAAATTTAGCTTCTTTACAAAATCGGAATAATATTCATACCTATGAGATTATAGTATACGCCAACGATTCAAAAAGTAGTTCTCTTTTTATTTTATTTTTCCCGGAGATCATTGATTTGTCATGACGAGCTTTTCTACGGTCGAACACGATCAATCTCTTTGTAATGTCACGGAAGAGTTAAAAATCGTAATCAAATTCATTCACAAAATACATTATTTTCTTAAGCAAGAACAAAGTGGATAAATAAAATTAGGCTCTAGCTCCTTTCGTTATGGTTCTAACTACCAAAAACTGCAGCCGTATTTTGGCCGTCTTGGTAGGTTTTAGGCCGATTTATAACAACCGATTTAACTCATATTGATTATAAATCTTGTTATTTGCTTGTTTCATCGATTTTTCAAATTAAATTAGACGACAAATGAAACTTTTGCGGATATTTTGCCGTGTCTTAGTTAGAGCTACAAGTGTTAAAAGACTCAACGCGCCATTTATCCATTATTGAGAAAAAACAACTTCATTTGACAGATTCATAACATCCAATGTTCATATCAAATTCCGACGAAATAAAACAAGTCACGAGTCTATACCAAAGTTTCTTATATAAAACAGAAAAAGAAAAAGAAAACCTTGTAACCGCTTCATTTGTGTTGCATGAAACATGAAGAAGAGTTCGATTACGTATGTAAAACACACACAACACAATCACATACCATGTGATCCAATCAGTTTGGTCATACCAAACGTAACCGCCATAGCTAACCATCCTCCGAACAAAACCCTAACCAAAGACTTGACCACCGGTGCTTTCCCCAACACCGCTCCTAACCACCCAAACATCACTAACGCCAACGTCACCGCCGCCACAATCACACCAACCCTCACTTGGTAATCTTTCACAAACGCAGCCGCCAATAAAGGCACAATCGCTCCCAGAGAGAACGCTAACGAAGAAGCAGCAGCGGCTTGCATCGGGCTAGGAAGCTTGTCTTTCTCTATCTGCCCTCCGCTCTCTCTCTTCATCTGAGCCACCTCTATGTCGTACTGAGAGTAAACGGAGACAAACTCTCCGATGGCCATGCTACAAGCTCCGGCGACTAAACCGGCGAAACCGGATAAGATCATGGTTTTGACGTCTTTCTTAACCGCACCGACACCCATCATGAGTGAAGCCGTCGAGACAAGACCGTCGTTGGCACCGAGCACGGCGGCTCGTAGCCATTGAGCTCGTTTAGAGTAGTCGAAAGCTTTTTCTTGATCTTTCTCCATGTCTTGGTTCAAGCTGTTGCTCACGTTGTGGGACTCCATGGTTAAATCAAAAGATTTGGTTTTCTCTTTCTTTTCTTTTATTTTCTTTTTCTGTGTTGAAATGAGAAGTAGAGAATATCGATGAAGTGTGGAGAACACACGCCTAGGTTGTATTTATGGAGAGATTTTATGTTAAGTTATTTATTTTATATTTTTTGGTTAGAAGAATTATGTGGTGTAGTCGACAATTAATTTATGTGGATTGTGGAGCATCATCACCACTAACGGAAATACTTTTACTATATTGGACAAAATGTGGACTTAAACCCCACCTATATTTTCCTTTCCTTACTGAGTTTTCTTCACTAATTAATTATTTTCACTCCTTGAGGTCTACTTACCAAAAAATGAAGAAGAAGCTTAATTTAATTCTAGTTCTAATACAGTAGTAGACTAGTATACTATAATTTATATAGATCAAACAGGCAAACACATGCTTGTAAATTTATTACTGGAAAAAAGAAATGCGTAGTTTGAAATTTCTGATAAGTTTGTGGATTTAAAATTAATAACTTATTAAACATTTACAATCTAATTTTAGAAATGTATAATCTTTTGAATTTTCATGAGTTCATCGAATTAACTTTATATATTTTAAAAATTATTCAATCAAACAACATCTTAATTATTTATTTTTTAAATAATAATTCGAGTTTGCATATTTGAACTTATTTACATTATCACAATAGGTTAAACTTACCTCATACAATTTATTACTCCACCATCCACATAATGACAACATTACTCATTAGACTTTCAAATCACCTACCGCAGGCCAAATTTAGATAAAGTAGTTTCTTTTTTACTTGTGCCAGTAAACACCTCTTTTCTTTTGTTTTTTTATTTTTCTTTTGGTACGCTAATTATTTTGTGGCAAAAAAAATCACGAATATAACGAGCCATCGTGGTTGATGATGGTCAAATCGAGCCATCATGGTTGATGATGGTCAATTCGGGTATGAATTTTTCTTGGTACTACGGTAAAGGAGGTTGAAAAATTGAGAGCACACACTTAAATTAAGAAAAAGCCAGAACGTTGAGATTAAGAAAAAGCAAGAACAAATATAGAAGTTCAGAAAAATCAATTACGGTAGACGTTAATTAACTATAACTAGGGAGTTAGAATACTAATGGCTGATCAAAGATTTTTTTCCAAAATGATTATTTTTTCAGACGATCAGAATATTAGTATTACACAAATCACAATAGTAAGTTGGAGTATTAATATTGTGCCAATAGCTCTTTGTAACCTTTAAAGTCTTAATATAATAGTGATCAGTTGAGTGATTTTTGCGAATGAAATATCAAGCAAATCACCAAAGTTAGACCAAAATTAGAAAGATTCAAGTCTTCAACCTTGTCAGTAGAAAACTTTTTGTATCATTTTGCGTAGATGAAGTCGTATATATATACAACCCGGCATTCTTCAATCGAAGAGAGTTTTAAAAGGGTGCGATTATTAAACAAATCACCAAAACTAGACCAAATTTGGATGAATTCGACTCGATAAACGCGTGGTGGTTGAAGGATATAAGGATAAAGTAGATGGAAGAGGTAACTTGAATTGCGAGCCAGCCAAGAGATGGAATACTACAAAACAAAATTACTGCAAGAATTTAAGTTTACACTAGTACTAGAAGAAAGAATATAAAAGGAAATACAGTTGCAAATGGCATATGTCCATTTAATTGTAAAAGAAGATAAGAAATTTGTTATATATACAAAATTCCCCTGCGAATAGGAAGTCAAAACGAATAAGCGATATATCTTGTCCTTATTATTTTATTTCGCATATTTTTATAAGTCTACGTAACTAAAACCTTAGCATATTTTTTTTATCAAAACAGACTTTTGTTTGGTAAAGAAAATTATCATTTCTAAAACTAACTACTGATTGTTACTAGTGGAAAGCAATTTTTATGTTTTTTAAATGATTCATACTGTCATTTTATTATCATATACATCTGTGATTAATAAATAAACAGTTGATCAAATCCGTGAGACAATGATACAACCTAAATGAAGAGATCATGCATGTGTTTTTTGTTTCCCTTTTCTTTTCTGTTACGGTTGGAACGACCTATGCACCGACCAAATTGGTCCAAGAAAATTGAATTTCATAATACTGTGTCTAGAAAATATTTACAAAATTGGAATTAGTGTGATGGTATATCATAGAGATGGGAATCTTCAATTTTACTATTTATGTACTTATGCTATTTATATACTGTATCTATTGTACACGTAAACGCAGTATTATTCTACATATAATTATAATTTCCTTTTTAAACTTTAGTATATATCGACTTAAGCAAAGATCAATCGTTTTTACACTATGATTCCAAGTTTGAAACGAACAAATGAAGTTTAGAAAGAAAAGGTAAAAAAAGTGAGTTTCCGCGTCCGATTGCTAAAGATAAAGCATAACGATGATTGTTATAGATATACCTCTGAAAAGTTGATCCTAATTGAAAAGGAAGAGGAAGAGGAAAATAAATGTGAAACCACATATTTGGGTTACTTTTTTTTTCTGGTTTTCATTTTACTTCATGATTCATCTTACTTAATTGGCAAAAGCGAAGAAAATAAATAAACAATTCTGAGTGAGACCGAAAGAGGCAGTTACAATATCAAGCTGTTCTGTCGTCTTCATGATCAAAGCCATGCAGATAAGCCTTCGTGATAAAAAAAGATACAAACAAAACAACTTCTCAAACGATGACCTAATGGTAGACGAAATATGTTGCCCAAAAGTTTGTTAAACCTGTGATACCATTTTTCTTATATTATCAAGTTAAGGGTTTTCTTGGCAACTACATTATAATTAAGTGAAACTTATTTTCTAAAAAAAAATTAAACTAACTAGTCCAAGTATGAGTTTTAGTTTGCCAATTTATATTTTTGCTTAGAAATGATAGTTTGCGTCTTAATAGATATTACCAATTCTAATTTTACTTTATGTTTGTTGGTTAATTATACCTTTTTATCGACAAAGAAATTATACTAAAACATAAGGGGGCAATCAATCCACAACACACTGTTTGTATTTTATGTTAACCATTCACTGTATTATATAATTAAGTGCATTACTGATCGACCAATTTATATAAGTGTATCACTGTTTGACCAAAAGTGATCAATGGATAATATATTGATAAGAAACTTTTCGATGTTTGAATTGTTTGATAAGTGTCATCATACCCTATATCTTACTGTATTCAATAAGAATTGATAAGAGGGGGTTCATTAGGAAAGTAAAAGGAGTAGATCAAACATAATGGACGATTATTATATTAAATAGTAGAATCCAACTATCCTATATATGAAGGGGATCAAATTTGAATCGGATGCTTTTCACACTATAGATTCTTCAGTCCAGCGATTAGAGCCGTCTGCAAGTGAAAAATCATAAACAACAAATTAATAGTAGATAATATGAGAGCTATAAATGTCGATTTTTTCTTGATTTAAAAACAGAAACTAGATGGATTGCTGAATTGGAGAGCACCGAGAAATATAATATAGTGAGAGAAAAAAACAATGGAAAGAGGAGATAATAATATAAAGAAAGAGGGATGAGTGTGGTTGCCACACGAATAGCACCACACTTCACCATCATCATCACTTGTTGAACACACACATACACATCTACGTATGATGTTTCTTCATTTGTATGCATGCATACGTATTCGCCTACGTACATTTATGCCCACACATTCTAAAGGGAAACAATATGTGTGTATATATATATATATATATATATATATAATTTTCTTATATCAATATATGAGCAATTGGACAAAAGAAAGCAATTGATCAGAAACTTTTTAAAAATTTCTACGACTCACACACGGCATTCAAATTGTTGTTAGAATCGCATATAGTTTATATAATAATAATATTAAAAAATCTTAAACAAAAGAAAAATACTAACTATACATGTAACACACACATAAATACTAGTAAATTACAACAATTTTTTTCTTTGAACGGCACTAATTATAAACAAGAACAAAAAAACAGAAGTAACCACTTTATTTGAAAATAAAGTTATAACATCTATTTTTTTATGTTTAAAATACAATGGTATGAACTTCTTCAATCAAATATCTAAAAAAAAAAATTGCCACGTATTGTATATATTACTACAGTATAATTAGAACTTATGGAGCGGCTTAAAACACAAAAACAGTCTGGTTTTTGTAACCTGGTTTTGAAAAACATTGACGAGTTACCCTATATGTTCGATTTCATGTCATATCACTATATCTATATCCATCCATATGCTGTGAAAAGTAGGTTATTGTGGCTTTTATATTGATAATGATGAATACAGACACATTGATTTCAACTTTACTAGTGTGGTCCGAGTCCTAGTCCTAATTCTCATAAGAATTTCGAAATAATTCTTTTTGTTATTAATACGAAACAAAATTGCATTAGGTCAATGGCTAATCTGTTTGTAGCATAGATGAGATTGAACAGATGAATCTTCGTTAGGCTTGGAAATAAACGGTTTGTGCAAATCATTCTCAAATGACTTGCAAAAATCTTGTCTATCAGCCAAGATAATTGGACACTAAGCACTTAACTGGGCCGGCATAAATGGGCTTAATATAAATTGGGCGAACTTATGTGGGGATCGATAATTAACGGGCGTATCATAATGAGACAACAACAATGGCAACGTTATTTCATACTATTTTTTTTAATTTAAAAATTAGGGATTCAATTATCCAATTTTCAATCAGCTTTTTCGTGGAAGTTGGAACTGATACATTTGGTACTCTCTTTGCTCGGTAAACTTCGGCTTGCCATGGGCCATGACTGTCTTAACTCTTGACCGACATATTTAAGCAGTCAAAATGGACATACTCAGAAACATCCCCCTAGTAATATCTTCATATTCTTTAGCCGAAAAAAAAATCATCCTAAATATACTTACATGAGTGGGAAAAATTAGTATATTTCTGATGAAAATAACTAACAAAATATTTACATGAAGGCGTAAAATCAGTAGGAATTGTTTCTCCGGAGGTATGAGAGTCACGAAGATGAGTAGTCTTCTTTTTCTGAATTTTCCGATGGATCATTTGATATATCTGAAATATTAAAAATCGGTAAAAGAAATATTATTGGCATTTTATGAAAATATACGTGGATATATATATAACGTTATGTTTTTTCTTAATAACATTATGTTTGAACTGAAGGAAAATGACAAAGTAAGATATCCAAGAAGAACAGAATGATCATTCGCTTGTCCCATTCCGTGGTTTCGTCATTATCAAGTGGTTGCTATGCTCCGTTGTATTATTGAAATTTATTGATAAGATTTCCATGTCGATCAAATTGAATATAAACAGACAACCAAAAAACAGATGATTTCGTAATGGTTTGTGGACTACTTCCGAATATGAAAGATATATTATTTTATAATATGGTTAGTCTAATAGTGACGAAATTAAATAGAGTATCTGCTTTGAACGTTGAATTTTATACTAAATGCACTTACTTAAGACTACAGCAGCCATGTACAAGTGGTGGCTCTTCACATGAAGACTGACTATTCAGCGCCTGAGATGGACCGGCAAGGCGCCAACCATATATAATTTATATGTTATTAAATAAATAAAAGATTGAGCTATAAAAGGAGAAACGAAGATGCATCAGAAATATACTAAATCATCATCCCACACACTACAAAGAAGAACAGCACACACACATACTATCTCTCTATCACGTAGAGTACCGTAAAGAAGGAGAAAGAAAGGAAGATATAAAGAAAAAAATGGGATTCCTTTTTGAAGAAACCTCAAACTCTAACCCTAAAACCAAAGTTGTTTTTGATGATGATCATGAGTTGGGTTTGATGGCCGTGAGGCTTGCCAATGCTGCTGCTTTTCCCATGGTTCTCAAAGCTGCCCTCGAGCTTGGTGTCTTTGACACTCTCTACGCCGCCGCTATGTTCCTCTCACCTTCCGAGATAGCGAGTAGGCTACCAACCACGCCTCGCAACCCCGAGGCACCGGTTTTGTTGGACCGTATGCTTCGTCTACTCGCTAGCTACTCCATGGTCAAGTGTGGAACGGTCCAAGCCGGAAAGGGCGAGAGGGTCTACAAAGCTGAGCCAATTTGCAGGTTCTTCTTGAAAGATAACATCCAAGATATAGGATCCCTTGCTTCTCAAGTCATTGTCAATTTCGACAGCGTCTTCCTCAATACTTGGTAAATTTCACAACTAAGTTTAGTGTTTCATCAGTTTTCGAATCTTGATTTATATGCTTTGAAACCTTACCTTATCGATACGTTAATAACTTGTAGGGCACAATTGAAAGATGTGGTGCTAGAAGGAGGAGATGCCTTTGGCCGCGCACATGGTGGCATGAAGCTCTTCGACTACATGGGAACAGATGAGAGATTCAGCAAACTATTTAACCAGACCGGATTCACCATAGCGGTCGTGAAGAAAGCTCTTGAAGTCTACCAAGGCTTCAAAGATGTGAATGTGTTGGTTGATGTGGGAGGTGGAGTTGGTAACACTATTGGTGTTGTTACTTCTAAGTATCCAAATATTAAGGGTATCAATTTTGATTTGACATGTGCCTTGGCACAAGCACCTTCTTATCCTGGCGTGGAACATGTCGCCGGAGACATGTTCGTGGATATCCCAACCGGAGATGCAATGATCTTGAAAGTAAGTTCAACAACTCTCCTATAATCTAAAGACTTTTTTTTTTGGAAATCGATATATATGTTAGTATACTTTGTACTAATATGTGGAATTAAATTTGTTTTACAGCGTATACTTCATGATTGGACCGACGAAGACTGCGTGAAGATTCTTAAAAACTGTTGGAAATCACTTCCTGAAAATAGTAAAGTGGTTGTGATAGAGTTAGTCACTCCTGATAATGCTGAGAGTGGAGACATCAACTCGAACATTGCATTTGATATGGATATGTTGATGTTCACACAATGTTCCGGTGGAAAAGAGCGGTCACGAGCTGAGTTTGAAGCTTTAGCTGCTGAATCGGGCTTCACCCATTGCAACTTCGTTTGCCAAGCTTATCACTGCTGGATTATTGAGTTTTGTAAAGAAAATGTTTAAATTATAAAACTTAAAGTCATCGTTAAATGTTAATTTACATCTTTGTTTATATCATACGGTTGTATTGTCTTCGAGTAATAAAAGTGTACTTTATTTTCTTGTTATCTCGAAGGAACAGTTTTATTAATTACTCACCGATTACATTATTCACGTACAACTCACAAAGTCATTACTGCATCTTTCATTTGTTTCCTAGCTCTTTTCATATTATAAGTTGTTTTATCCCGTACACTAGCGGGAAATAACAATCTTGATCGTGGAAATTTTTTCTACGATTTTAATTTAGATTCACCAATTTTTTAATCTTGCAGCTGTACCAGCAACAGTCGTGTTCCTATTATGCCAAAAAACTAACCTAATCAGTTTTGATTTATCATGTTATAAATTTTCAAAGTGATTGTCCGATTGTTGGTCAAACGAGGACTATCGCCGATCTTGACTCGTCCCTACTCACTCATAAAGTAACATGTTGATTTCCTCTTGTTTGATATGATCGTACCTTTGTTTTTTATTCTCCAAAGCTTTTTCATTGATTTTTAAAATTTTCTCTTAAAGAATCAGCTTTAACTAATTAGTCACATGCATGCATATTCATTGCTGCTCTCACTCGCGGGAAAATAACGGCGACTTCTCTAGTTTAGTGTTTCATTCCTTCTGTTATTGCCAATGTTTATGAGAATCTTGCTCATAGTAATTGACTTTTATCAGTTTTTTTTCTAAGAATACAAAATCATTTATAATCTATATGAGAATGTACTATCTGATGGAAAGAATATCGGATAAGAGAGAAATTAAGTGAGGAAAATTTAGGGTTTTATACAGCTGTGCATACAACAACAAAAACTAATGGGATTGGTCAACTACAGCAGTTAAGCGTAAGAAAGTTATCAACATCAACTTAAACTGCTGGTCCGTAATATGTTTACTTAGCTTATAAAATTTTCAGTAAGCATAAAGTTATTGATTGGTCCAATTAACCCCAATAATATTGTAATTGTGTCCAAGATAATAATTAATGAAGTTTGACAATCCCAAATTTGTGACCTTCCCTGAAGAGCAATTCAAGATGGATATGCAGTTATGCACATAAAGGACAATAGTGATGTTACACTCACTCTAGTCAAAATTATAGCATGTTTTATTTACAACAAAGAAATAAGTAGATAATTAATCTATATTTTTCTTGTCACTTTTTTTTTTTTTTTGGTAAAAATGTTAAAGTTTTCTTGTCACCTTCCTAAGTCGCAATCGTTCTAATCAAGTGAGAGCTTCTCTCTTCCTCTGCCTTTACTCGAACTCATGCGGTGGAGCATAGCCTAATCAAATGGGAACTATCCGTCTCTTTGAGTTTTTTTTTTTTTATACTATTATAACGTTATGTCGATCAAATTAATTGAAAAAACAAATGAAAACATATACTATTTCGCTTATTTTATTATTTGTGTCTTTGAACATTGACTTTTACTATAAAACATCGACCTGATTTGAAACAAGATTTAACTGTTTCAGCCGCCACAAGTTCCTCTTACTTTTCTACATAGAGAGTAGAGACTATCCAGCCAGCCAAATTGACCGGCACGCCAACAATTCTATGGATTAAATAAAGAAAGAGGAGGCTAAGCATTATCTATAAAAGGATAAACAAAAATCCATCAAAATCATCATCCTCAACACACACACACACACAAGAAAGAAACAAACACACAGAGTCTCTCTCTTTCGTCGCTTCTGATCAGTGTGATCACTTACGGTACCGTGAAGGAGACGAAAGAAAGAAAGAGATACATACAAACATGGGAATCCTTTTTGAAGAAACCATTAGCTCTAACTCTATAACCCCAATTCTTGTTGATGATGATCATGAGTTGGGTTTGATGGCCGTAAGACTAGCCAATGCCGGCGCCTTCCCAATGGTTCTGAAGGCTTCCCTTGAGCTCGGTGTCTTTGACACTCTCTACACCGCCTCGGTGTTCCTCTCACCTTCCGAGATAGCGAGTAGGCTACCAACCACGCCTCGAAACGCTGGAGCACCGGTTTTGTTGGATCGTATGCTTCGTCTACTCGCTAGCTACTCCATGGTCAAGTGCGCAACGGTCCAAGCCGGAAAAGGGGAGAGAGTCTACAAAGCTGAGCCAATTTGCAGGTTCTTCTTGAAAAATAACATCCAAGATATTGGATCCCTTGCTTCCCAAGTCATTGTCAATTTCGACAGCGTCTTCCTCAATACTTGGTATGTCTCATAATTCATCTAAGTAGCAAAAAATACTCATCTATGTTCAAAATCTTGATTTATAGTCTATGAAATCTTACTTTATCAATACGCGAATTTTAGGGCACAATTGAAAGATGTGGTGCTAGAAGGAGGAGACGCATTTGGTCGCGCACATGGTGGCATGAAGCTCTTTGACTATATGGGAACAGATGAGAGATTCAGCAAACTCTTTAACCAGACCGGATTCACAATTGCGGTTGTGAAGAAAGCTCTTGAAGTCTACCAAGGCTTCAAAGATGTGAATGTGTTAGTTGATGTGGGAGGTGGAGTTGGTAACACACTTGATGTTGTTACTTCTAAGTATCCCAATATCAAGGGTATCAATTTTGACCTAACTTGTGCCTTGGCACAAGCACCTTCTTATCCTGGTGTGGAACATGTAGCCGGGGACATGTTTGTGGATGTCCCAACCGGAGATGCAATGATCTTGAAAGTAAGTCCAACAACTCATTATTTATATTTATTTAAAGTGTATGTATACTTAATATTGGGATTAATTTTTTTTTTTGCAGCGTATACTTCATGATTGGACCGATGAAGATTGCGTGAAGATTCTTAAGAACTGTTGGAAATCATTACCAAAGAACGGTAAAGTGGTTGTGATAGAGCTAGTCACTCCTGACAGTGCTGAGAGTGGAGACATCAATTCAAACATTGCCTTTGACATGGATATGTTGATGTTCACTCAATGTTCCGGCGGCAAAGAGAGGTCAAGAGCTGAGTTCAAAGCTCTTGCCGCAGCTTCTGGCTTCACCCATTGCAAATTCGTTTGCCAAGCTTATCACTGCTGGATTATTGAGTTCTGTAAATAAAATGTTTAAAACATAAAACTAAATCGCTGTTAATTGTTCATTTCATCTTTCTTTCAATATTCTTCTTTTGTGATGATCATACCAAAAATAATGTACTTTATGATAAAATACTAATAATAATGACTAATTATCATTTACTCGTTGAACTATTCAAAAGCCTGCTTTAATTATTTTGATCACATGAAATTCAATGTTTCTTTATAAAGAGCTCACAAGTGTCACACAAGTGCATATTCATTACTCAACGGTCAGCTAGTTTGTTTGTCCTATTCCACTCACGGGAAATAACGGCTACTTCTCTAGTTTAATTGTTTCATTCATTCCATTCACTGAAATCTTCATATGGTTTTTTTAAATGTAATGGTCCACTCTCTGTCTATATGTAACTTGAATAGTCTGTAGATTAACAAAAAAGGAAAGGACACATAGTACAGTACAGCTCGATTAAAGTGAAGCTGCATAGACTATATGCTTAATTTCCTTGTAGGGGACCCAAAATTCTGAAAAGAAAAATGAGACATTTGAGTGAGAATGTAGTGGAGACCACAAAGAAGGCACATTTGATTTATAAAATTGCACATCACAAAAACAAAAAAAACTCCCTAAGATTCTAATAAGAGAGAATGAATGATTACAAAGTTAAGTAAGATTAGCAATTAAGATCAGAAACGTAATCATTCCTTCATCAACAGCTTTGTAATCATTCCATCTCTCTTTCTCTAAAGATGAAAAAAAATGGCTACACCTACACAAGACAAACCTAGATTCACCGTTACTGTCATCATCACCTGCACACACACACAACCAACATCTTCAAATTAATCAAATTGAAAAGTATTAACCATTTTTATTTATTTAATCTCGTTGCAATTAGTGTTACCTGATGTGCTGAGTTTGTGGAAGTTGGTAAAGGGTTAATGGAAGTAGAGTCGACTTCTCCGGTGGGAAGAGGAACCGCCGGATTACTGTTGATGAACGGAACACCGTCTTTTCCGGGAACAGTCACTGACGTGATCTCTGACGGAGATGGTCCCGGAGAGAAAGCTGAACCTTCTCTTGGTCCTAACGGCCATGGGTAAGATGGAGAAGACGAGATCACTCCTCCTTCCGAGACCGGAGCAGGGGCAATTGCCGGTGTTGGTGGCTGTGACGGCGGAGTTGCGGCGGAGGCGGCGAGGATGACTTGGACTGTGAGCTTCTGGTTGAGTTGGCAGGTTTTGGGAAGAGAAGTGTTGTTGGTGAAGGAGAAGTAGTAGGAGCCTGTTCTTGATGGGTACCACTGCGTTTAAGTTGAGTGAAAATGTAGATTATTAGTGGAATTAATGACTGTTTAATGCAATTTTAGATGCTCTTTGTTATTGATTGTGACTGATTGTCATTGAGCCCTGAGCATATATGACTTTGTGTATTTAACTATTAGTTTAATCAACTAATTAACTAATGACAAAAAGAGCATAAAAACAGAGAAAAACAGGGGAAGAGGTTCTTTTTTTTGTCAATCTCAAGAACACAGAGCAAAAAAGGGAAGCTGTGTAAAGATCAGAACTTTATGAAATTACTGAGAAAATTCAGATGAAATTCTCAACCTTTTTGCCAATTTCCCCAGAGAAAAAGTCACAATTTTTTTCATAAATGTGAGAAAGAGAAATGTACCGTGAAGGAAGTGGAATTAGGTTTTGTAAGAAGAGCAGCTTGAGTGAAGTTGCAGACAGTGAATGCATCTTTGGTCCTGAAGATGTAGAGATCGTATCCGTACTTATGTCTGAAAACTGGAGGCAAAAGCACAAACAGAAAGTACCATTAACTAAGAGAAAATCTAACAGAATATGATACACTGAAAGATTGTTTTTTGTAAAGAAACTTACTGACTGAGTCGCCGATATGAACAATGGGGGTTTTCCAGACAGAGGCACCGTCGACAGTAAACGTGGAGGAGAGACAAGGACGAGAGAAGAGAGAGAGGAAGCAGAAGGAGAAGAAGAAGAGCATTGAGGAGAGATGTTTCTGTGACCAAACCATATTTTGTTGCTTGAAATGAGGAGATGCGTAGGTTTAATCAAGAGATTCTGAAATAAAAGAGGTAAAGAGCTTCAATGATGTCTTCCCTTTTTATCTTTGCAGGCCTCTCTCTCTCTCACAGTAGGTCAAAAGAGAGGCTTGGTGCCTATGGAGCTTGGGGAGAAGAGAAGAAGAAAAGTGAAGAGTGAAGACAGAGAGAGAGAGAAACAGAGAAAGAGGTATTTTGAGAAGTGTGCAGTGAGTGTCTCTGTCTGTTTTACTTTTATGTGTGTCTGTGTTGAAGAAATGGAGAAGATTGAGAATTTTGAGGACTGATTTTTAATTAATTAGTAGGATTATTATTTTTCCCCATAACTAACTGAATTAAGAATAATATACTATTTTCTTATCAGTAACCTTTAAATTTAAGCAGAATTAATCGAGTTTGAAATTGTGAGTACCATGTACAAGACATTTAAAAGACATTTTTGACTAATGCAAGTCTCTCTATACCTATTTTTCATTGGAGATGGTAGTAATCTTTGTGTAAGCAAATTTACTAAACGGTCAAATAAAAAGTGACATCATTTTAATCACGGGAAATAATGCTCTCCTGGTAAAAATCTGACAAAATAAAGTGAACAAAGTAAAAATTACAAGTATTAAAACACACAAGAAACAAACAAATAAAAAAGAGAAAAAGTAGGAAAGTGTAGAATTATATAACGAGATAATGATGGTGATTATTATTCTTAAATCATTACGCCTGTGATTTAACCCCAACATGTTTCTGATCCCCCTACTTTTCATTTGATTTTATAAATTACCTTGTACTATCGTTTTGTTATTAGAAACTTTTTCTCCCTTTAATCAAACGAAAATAGAGATATGAACATAACTTTTCGAGTCTAACTCGACACTACTTTATGGGCTGGATGCAATTATACACATATCTTTCTTCTTTTAGGCCAAAGTCATCAATGATAATCTTATCTTTTCTCTTTTGTTAAGTTAGGATAATGAGAATAGAGTGCAGTACTTGACAACAAACAAAAATGAGATTAGTGCATATAAATTAACCTACGTTTAAATTTTCAAAACATTTTATATATACATTTCACAGCAACCAAATATATGCATCTAATAAAAATATATATATATATATACATCGCATCGATTGGTAGAACAAACATTGTAACTAAATTTGTTCTGATGTATGTTGGTAAACTCGAGCTGGTTTTTATTGTTAGCAATCACTCAACGATAGAAGTTAAATCATATCGACCAAAACCAATAGCGTCCAAACAACTGATGACAAAATCCAAAATTCTGCTTAAGAACAAACAAATTAACGAAACTGAGCTCAAGATATTTGTCATTGCTTGATTTTTGTTGGTATGTTGTGTTTGATACCCATATTCACTTCTTCATTTTTGCAGTGTTTCGAGAAAATGATACGTGTAGTCGGAATAAACAAATGGCACGAGCATTGTCCAGCTTTTCCTTTTTTGTGTAGAACCATACGAACCACACAGCCTTTTGGTCACACGTCTCGTCGTATTTGTGTTTAGCTTTTTATGCTAAAACGACAACTGCTACGTGACAAAACGCGAGCTTCGGCCAAACCCCCAAAAATCTCTTGCCGTTTCTTTTCATGGACCTTTTTCAAATTTAAATAATCAACGTGGTTGGTTAAAAACCAAATTAAACACAAACTACAGTACTATAGTTTACAATTCTAAATAAATAAATAATATAGATATCAAAATGCATTCAAAATAATGTGAACGTTAATTCTTCGAATATGAATGCATTGGTGGTACACTCGTTTGGTTTGGCTAATAGTTAATGTTAAGTTTCATGAGTATCTAAATCAAAAACAGTTAGGTTTAAGTGGATTCTCATCACATTTCCTATGTAAAATTTCTCAAAAAAAAACTTACACGAAAAGCCTAATTGATAAGTATATGTATGTCTAAAACATACGACCCTGCAAACTGATTTGAAATATATAAGGTACGTAAGTGGCTTTGTTAATAAAGATCATCATTTAACTTTACCACACGGTCCACACCGATACCGAAAGATGTTTGAATGTGCCAGTGCATTGATTGAGAGATACTTGCATGTGCTAACAACCACAAAATACACATGCATTTAGCTACTTATTTTCCCCGTGGTGTTTAATTGCAAGAACTATGTATTATCTGGCCATCAAAATCATTGTATGATTCTATGTTTTGATAAATACTGTATATTATAAAGCTGTCATTATTGATCCAATTATGTTTTGATCAGATCACTCATCTATTGGCATAAAGCATGCATTGAAGCAACAACAATAGAGGCATCACTGCATCAGGCATGCAAACACACTTAAATCTTGAAGTTGGAAGTGATTGACGATATAACACTAATTTTTTTTATTAGTCCTGTCACTTTGACTTGAACGATATTAAATTAAATCCATATAGATTTTTATATGAAATCAAATTCAGACAACTAATGTATTAATTAGACGCTTTAACCCCTATTTGAATGGTGACCTTAATCTGTAAGATAAGTGATTAAACGATTGGATTGGAAAAAAGAGGAATCCAAGCAGACGCTGACGGGAAAACGCGTGGCGAATATACGTCATTTAAAACGGCAAAACAAATAAATAAAATTAGACGGAGAAGAAGAAAAAAGGAGCGGTTGAGTTGATATTGCCGGCGCGTACTCGTCAACGGAACGCGCGTGGAGTGTCTTCGTGTCTCACTAGAGAAGATTGAGAGTTTTCTTCTTTTTCCGTCGGCGATTTGAGAGTTTCGATTCGAAAGATAGAGATCGTAATCGGGTTATCATGGTGAAGGAGACGGAGTATTACGATGTGCTCGGCGTTAGCCCCACCGCTACGGAGGCTGAGATTAAGAAAGCTTACTACATCAAGGTTCTCAAACCTAATCTCTGATTCTACGATTCTAGAATTCTGATTTTATCTCATCATTTTCAATTTCGGTGATTTTGAGCTAAACTCGAATCTGGGGAGTTTCTTAGTATCGGGTCGATTTGGGCTAGCCACCGGAGTGGTTGATTTTACGGGATTGTATGACTATAAGCTTAAGAGCTCATCAGTGTCTCTGGTGTTTGCATTGAACAAAAGTTCTCTATAGCTTTTAGAGTATTGTAGGTTTATCGATTTTGACATTACAAAATGCTGATTGTTGGCTTTGTTTATATTCCACAGGCACGCAAAGTACATCCAGATAAAAACCCCAATGATCCTCAGGCTGCTCATAATTTCCAGGCAAGTTCAGATTTTGAGAAGTATTGTTTGAATTCGTTTCCAGGGATACTCCTTTTTCTTTAGTTTAAGTCTAAGGCTCTCAGCCTTCTTGGCCTATGATGTTTGGAAAGTATTGGAGTGGTAACCTTGCAGATTCACATAGAGGATGATGCTGTTCCAAGAGATTTGTCTTTCGTGATCTACTTTTTTTTTCTGTGGTGAATCTTTTTTGGAAGAGCTTTTGAAAAATGATTCTTTTTACAGGTGTTGGGAGAGGCCTACCAAGTGCTAAGTGATCCAGGGCAACGTCAGGCCTATGACGCTTATGGGAAGTCAGGGATTTCAACGTTAGTTTGCTTTCTTGTTCTCTCTTTAGTTCAATGGATGACTTGACCACGTGGAATTTGGTGACATGTGATCTTGTTCCCGTTGATAAAGAATTTGGTCGTTTTCTCACTTCTTAATTTTTGGTGTTCGTTCTTGCAGTGAGATCATTGATCCTGCGGCAATATTCGCCATGCTTTTTGGGAGTGAACTTTTCGAAGAATACATCGGGCAGCTTGCTATGGCATCAATGGCGTCGCTTGATATCGTCACTGAAGGGGATCAGATTGATACGAAAAAGATTATTGATAAAATGAGGGTAAATTTATCATTTATCAACTATCCTTCTTAAGAACATCGTCACTTCGTGACATACTATACATAGAGTACAAAGTACCCAGATTCTCCCTTTGTTAATAATTTTCTTAGCATGTTAGATTACTTTTGGTTTCAGGCCGTTCAGAAAGAAAGAGAAGACAAGCTTGCTCAACTTCTAAAGGACCGCCTCAACCTATATGCGACGAACAAAGATGAATTTATTAGCAATGCTGAAGCTGAAGTAACAAGACTCTCAAATGCGGGTAACATGTTCTGTAGCATTTTGTTCCCCTTTCATAGTTTATGCTTTCTCTTTTAATGAATGCCATATCTGTGCTAAAAAGTCAGTCTTATCTCCTTTCTCTATCTACTTTCAACAGCATACGGTGTGGAAATGTTGAACACAATTGGATATATATATGTAAGACAAGCGGCGAAAGAGCTTGGGAAGAAAGCTATTTATCTCGGTGTACCATTCGTTGCTGAATGGTTTAGGACAAAAGGTCACTTCATCAAATCCCAAGTAACAGCTGCAACAGGTTAGTTCCTTACTAACATAGCCGACCTCATCATCAGGTGCCAGAACTTAGTAGTATGGGTTACATAAGGAACAATAAATTCAACCACTAAAAAGAAACCCCAAGTAGCTTTCTAGAATTTTATCTCCTCTCATAAGGACTTTTCTGTCTCTTGACTGTTTTCTGTCGTCCTAGGTGCATACGCTCTTTTCCAGCTGCAAGAGGAAATGAAAAGGCAGCTAAGTGCTGAAGGAAATTATACAGAGAATGAACTTGAGGAGTACATGAAGTCCCATAAGAAAGTGATGATTGATTCTCTGTGGAAGCTCAATGTTGCTGATATCGAAAGCACTCTCTCCCGTGTTTGTGAGCTGGTTGTCTAGCTATAACAGTTCACTATTTGGCTTCTATAGCATTTTTGTCCAAATTCTTTGATTTAACCAGTTTAGTATTATATTTTGTCTTAGGTACTTCAAGATCCCACTGCCAAGAGAGAGGAGCTTCGTGCAAGGGCAAAGGGGTTAAAAACTCTGGGGAAAATCTTCCAGGTAAATTTCCACTCG